TGCCGACATGGGGATTGTCGTAGGGTGTGACGCCGCCGTCGTTCGGTAGTGACAGACCATGATCACCGGCCATGACAATCAACGTCTCATCCGCGATGCCTTTCTCCTCCAGAATGCTAATAATCTCAGCGATCCAATTGTCGCCGAACCCGATCGTATTCAGGTAGCGGTTAACGTCATTGTTGTGTCCGGTCCACGACGATCCCAAGAACTCCTCGTACTCATCATGTGGCATTCCCCAAGGATGATGCGTGGTGCCGGTCAGATGGGTGAGGAAGAGGCGGGTGTGGCTGGCCTCCGCATCATCGATTGCATCGCGAATGTAATCCCGCAGTTCGGTATCCGCATAGCCATAGTAGTTGATTTCCTCCGACTTGACCGGGTAGTGCTTCGAGCTTGGGTCTTCCAGCGTCTCCTTGGTGACCTTGTCATGGTAGCCCAGAGCCGGAGTCAGTTTATCCTGGTTATCGTAGGTTTCAGTCACGGACTGCATCCACACGGAGTGCCACGGCCACGCAGTAAAGTCGTCCGTCTGGTTGGTAATATCGTGTTGCTGGCTCAACGCATTAAATACGTGAGGCAGGCACGGCTGGTAAATATGGTGTTTGTATTCGCGGTTGAAGTCGGTCACCAGGGGGGTCACGCCGCACAGCGTACCCACCAAGCTCTTCAGCGTGTAGGTACCGGTCGTGTGAGCGTTGCGTGCGCTAATACCGCCGTACGCTTTCCGGTCGGCGTGGAGCGAATCGTTATGCTCGAATCCGGCGTCAAACCCGGTTAGCCACTCGGCGGTGCGAGTCAGGTTGGAGAGACGCTCCTGGATCTCGGGCGGGATCTGCTTATCCTTGTGGGATTCTGCAATGCGATTCCACATGAACGAGTCCTTCTTCAAGGGAAAGACATCGCCTCGAGTACTCTCAAGTTTCAGCATGATTACATGTTTGATCTTAACACTGCCGTCCTCCAGCACGGGTCGGATGGAATCGAGAACTGGGTTTTCCCGGTTGGAAATTTGTAATGGGTCCATACTCGGTGTGTAGTGCAGGGCGAAACGGTCGGTCTTGTCCCAGTCAGAGAAGCCGGGGAGTCCCTTCTGCGGCATCCAGTCCCAACCCGGTGCGGGGTGCAAGGATGACCGCTCCTCTAGCCAGGCATAATCTCCCGGCAAGGCCGTCGTGTCAACCGGACTCTTCCGGTGTCCACCCTCCAAGAACGGGGTCAACGGTAAGGTGCCCGAGAGATACATGTACGCCGGCGCCCAGGGACGAAGGAAGCGGAGGAGCAGGAATAAGCCAAACAGACCCAACACGACAAATCGACGCATGGGGGTGTCCGTCCGCCTGCGCTCCGTCGGGGTCGTGCTACCAGTCCCGGTGTGCAGCAGGTGGTCCGATTCTCCATCATCACTCTTATCGTCCAGGTAGTCATCGACCGCAATCTGTTCGTAAATCTCCGGGTCCGGAAGGGGTTGTCGCCGGACACTGCCGTAGGCACGATGGAAACAGGGTCGCAGGCGCTCCACCAGAGCGCGGATGGGCCAGGCCAACACGTGCAAGATTCCACCCGTCATTCGATGAATGAATCCTGCCACGAACCAATTCACTGTCAGCAGAATACCTTCCACAACGAGAAAACCGGCCAATCCTTCCAGGAGGGTCCGCATAGCTGCGGCGTCGGCATGGAAGGATGTGGCCTGTCGCCAGTGGATTTCGGCACCGGTCACGACGTAGAACGAGGTATTGGAGGCCATCATTCCGGACATCATCAAACTATTGGCAGCGAAAAAGATCGTTAGTTTCGGAACTGTCCAGTCATCGCAACCTATCACAACATACGCACCTGATCGGAATAACGATGGTCGCGCCCACGACGGCCAGGGACCGCCACGGGACCCTCTGAGCGAGGGTCCGGAATAATAGCAGGATCATGACATCTTGAAAGAAGAATGTAACGCCCCAGAGTAAAAACTTGCTCGGCGGGAGGGAGTGCAGGTGGGCGAAGAGATGAAGGAATTTGGCGCCAAACAGCGAGATGAACGAGAGGGAGAAGAAATATCGGCGAGCAAATTCCCAGAAGAGATCGAATGCCTCCCCGGGCGAGGAGCGCAATTTGTGGAAGACGGGCACCCACCGATGGCGGAGGGCGTGCAGAGTGTTGGCGAGCTTCATGACGTTAATCTAGCGGTCCAAGCGATCACCACATGGCAAGGGAAAAGGTTTCTTTGGGTATGGAAGCGCAATCCAACTTCGGCCACCAGAAAAAGGAGCTATGAAGAGATGCCCATCGGAAACGCTGGCGTGGTTGTAATTTCCGGAGGGGTGTGAGGGAAAGGGAAAGAGAACAAGAAAAGGTCAAAAATCAAGGATAAACAGAAAATCGAAAGATTGAAGGAAAAAAAAGAAGGGAATCCGAAAGAAAGAAGTAAATCAGTCGATCAGTTAGTAGTCAGCAACGACGAGAAGGCAAGGGAAAGAAAAGAGAGAAAGCAATGGATTGTGGAGAGAGAGAAAGAAAGTCAGCATATGTAATGAGGAGACAAGAAACATCATCACCACCGCATGGTTTTGACCCGTACCAGAACGGAATTTTCCAATAATACACCGAGATTTCTTACGGGCCCATTCACTAACAATAGAGCCGCACAGCCCTGTCTGCCTTAACTTTTTCTTTTTTTTGCCTTTCACTTTTTTGTTTTTACCATAAACTAAAATGTGATTGTAGTTGAAATTTTTTTTTTTTGTTTTCCGATTTTTCCATATATTTCACTGTTTGCTGTACCGAATAATTCTTTGGCGCCTGTCGTGAAACTGTCTCTTCTCACTGGTTCACAAGACCCCTTTCCTAGCTAGACCCTTTTTGATCCCCTGGACCCACCTAACCTCAGTCATATCATTGGCGGATACTGTTCGTTTTAGCCCCCGGCCTACAGGGCTGGGGCATGGCGACCAATCAATTCCAGCGCCAAGACTGAAGACCCTGGCGGTGCATTTTCTTGCCGTCTGTTGTGAAACAGGAGAAGGAATCCAGTGTAAAGGTTTGGAATTCATCCGTCCAACGGTTGATAAGAAGCGTTCTTGATTGTCTACAGCGGATGGAACAATAGATTAGTTGACAATGATACTACTGAGTACTAGTAGTTAGTCTGAGAACGTGACAGAGGAGTGTCTCACTAGGTGAAATTCTTTCAGGAAAAATGTCGAGGCTACATGGCAAGCCCTCGGAATGGATGAAATGGGGTGTAATTTATTTCGGGTATGCCGCTAGGATGGAAAAGGCAATGTGACACACGGTCAACTTTCCCTGGAGCAAGTGATCACTTTCCATTTGGGGTCTTGAACCGAGAACCCATGGTCACCAATCACTGGATCCGCCATCCGCGCCTACCTGCAGGCGGCGTTCCCCGGAGTTGACTGTTTAGGACTTAGTGGCACCCGCAGGGCTTCCATTTTTTCTTCCATTGGGTTTCCTTTTTCTTGCTTTGTACGCACTCTGGAGTAGTAATATATGCACTATACTCCGTACCGATGATTATGGTCCAGAGATCCACTTCACAGCACAGAAAGGTTGTCTCACTTTCAGCCTGCGGAGAGGATGGTTAACCGTTAACCTCCCGGCGAAGATGCTATATTTATCGACTCAACTTGCTAGAGTATAAACAGATGGTTCATACATATTTTTGCTTATATTTTAAGTTTTTTCAGGATCGACTCCATCGTGATATCGATACTCATTCAGGAAGGGTCTCAGGCCACCTCTCTCCACCTTTTCAACCCAGTGACATCACGAGCGCTCTGTTCCGTCGGTTCCGTTCAGGGTAACTATACTTTTACACTGTAGTAGACATGGTCAGAAATACATCATCTTGACCAGGGTCCAGACTAACAGCGCCGCCGTGATACATGGCACTCTGACTGGTTTGACAGCAGAACCAGACGGCCTGGCCGTGCGTTAGCGTCTGACTTCTCCATGTTGGAGGAGACCCTGCGAGCCTCTGATTGCCTTATAAGATATGGGGAACAAGATATGGAAGGACATCCTGGTTGGTTCGTGATGGCACCCTGCGGTGGCCAGAGAACAGGCAACAGTTCCTCGGCAAAATCAATCGTGGGATTCAGCCCAGTCGGGCAGCCCTGGGATCTAACCGTCGATCTAATTGTGTGGCGGGTACAAATCCCTCCCCAATCCTTCTCCCTCTCTTTATTCTTCCATGGTCTCTTGATGATGGACTTTACCCATTATATGTCTGTGAATCTGTCCCATCTCTGAGATACCTCGAGTGCTCTCACACACAGAGACAGGTGCATTACTGATATCGAAAAGGGGTTAAAATGGAACCCACGACTAAATTAGTCCTAATAGTGCCATCTACTACGGTATTGTCAGTATCAGCAGGTATGTACTGTATGTAAGTGACACGTACGGAAAAAATACTACCTCCCGAGTCCCAACAGCCACTGCCAAGTGCCAAGTCGTCGGACTTGTCTCAGACGGAAGAGGAAGCGAATGGGCCAATTCGCTTTCGTCGGTCGTCTCCATCCTGGCGTTCAAGGCTCTTTTTTGGCCCCCGCCTTGGCATGGAACTGTTGGCAGTTGGAAACAAAACATACTACGGAGTTCCTCGACCACGGTTGTCTCTTGTACGGAGTATAAAATAGAGCTGTCGCGATCCATGTTTGAAACATCAGAGAGGCAGTGCTGACATCAAGAGATAACATCATTGAAACGAGTCTAACAGCATTCAACCCCACTACAATGTTACGTTAGCCATGGACTCGATGATGAGAACAGCAACAAGCTCCAATTTAACATCGTCGAAGCTAAGCTCCGGGGATTCCTCGTGCCATTGGGTGCCACATGGCATCACGAGACCACTTGCTTCATGAGCTCGTATATCAAGGTTTACTTTCTACCTTGATAAAGTACTAATATTATCTATTCAACAAAGATGCACAGACTATTTCACTACATTTAACCACAGTGAATTCAATCCAACCCCTACCCGACATGCAATGCAATGCAACAATAAGCAGGTCACACCCCCTCCCCCCAAAATATCTCCGACCGTAAGACACAGTCCATACTTAAAGTAAACTATAATCAAGCACGTTAATCAAATAATTGAAAGACAATTATTGAAATAAAAACAAGACTTCAAACCACCTTCTCCACCTCAATTTCCCCCCCTCTCCCAAAAAAAACCTTCTGTCTTCGGCGACCATCCGACAAAAAGGGGCAAATGGACGGAGAAAACCAGCCACTCTCATTGGTATCAGATCAACCCTTTCTGCCGGGTGATGGCGACAAGGTCGATCGGCCCTTCTTTCCCTTTCTTGAATTCGTTTCTTTTTTGAGTTCAGTTTGGGGCAACTATCTCTTTTTCTCTTTGTTCAGTTTGTATCGTTTTACTGTGGAGTTACTCATAGTATTCCTAGGATTTATCCAAATGCCGGCATGCATAAACATGAATGAAAATGTGGCTTTTAGTCGAGTTATAATTGGAATACTAGTCTGGTGTCCCGTCCCGCCGTCAGGACACGTTGTCCTTCGCCTGCTAGAGTTTAGTCGCTCGATCTGGTAGTCTAGCCTGATTTGGTCGAAGGCTGTATTAGGTAATCGTCATGGGGAAATCATAGATTTCTGTCAGTTGTACGGAGTATACGATTCGAGAGAGGTTGTTTTTATCGAAATAGATGTGTGTTACTGCACGAACGTCACAGGCGATATGCAAAAATTCAATCCTCGGAATGGAATTTGCTTGGAACTTGTTCGAGAAATGGATGTGCAACGGAGATTAACGAGGATATTCCAGTAACTCCGCAAGTATATATTCATCATCGCAGATGCTCTAGACGTCCACTCACTCATTGTCAAAATTGCAACATCACATTGCGTAAACGACCCGAACATATCTAAATATAACCCCATCTCATCAGGTTAAGGTTATCTGATCGACGCCCGAACCGGGATACTGCAGGGACATCCTCATGGATGAGATCTGATGCGAATTCCCTTACGCAAGCACCATGCCGTGGAAAAGTTACACGAGTTTCATTTCCGCCTGAAGAGCACTGAATGATCCCTTGCTAACTCAGTTTATGATGCTGCATACCAACATCCCATGCCAAAACCCCTGCAGGAGTCCGTCGACATGGATTGACCAAGTGAGACAGCGGATACCATGTGAAATTGGTAAATATGTAACATGAAATTAACACACTATTTACTTCCGATAACCGAGACGGAGAACAGTGGACCACTCGCGAAGATGTGCTGAACAGTCTGAATGCCATAGATGGATGATATGTAGAATGAGAAGAAAGTCAACGGCGTCGCTGCAGCAAAGCCTTTGGTCCATTCATATAGTACCCGCCCACTGCAAGGGCCACTCCCAAAGCGCCCAGCACCAATGTTGAGGAACGAACAGGCAATTCCTCCTGGACGCGACCGATATTGGTCGATTTCTTGCGCTCCACCACGGACTTGCCCGTCCCCTCAATGAGGTAATCCTCCCATTGCACCCGTGACATGTCCTTCTGATACTGGACCACCCGGCCGGGCCAGTTGTTGGTGATCCGACCATTTTCCAGTTTATACCAGCTATGGCACTGCGGGTCGGCGAAGGTACTGCCCTCTAACTCTTTCTGGAGGCGATCATTGAACGCAGCCACTACATCCGACCGGGGCTGCAAGACCAGCGAGTCGCTACGAGCCTTGGCACGCACGACCTCACTGATCAGTGTGGTCAGGTAACGCGACTGTGCCTCAACCATCAGAATGATCGAGTTATGTCCTGTACACGATAAGCCCAAGATTCCACAAGAGAAGGGTTGTGTTCCACTCACCTAGATTCGTGTTCGGCCCGTATAGCATGCCAAAGTTGGGGAGGTTCTCAACTGTGACACCATAGTAGGCTGCAGCCCCATCCTTCCATACATCTGACACCGGACGTCCGTTTCGCCCGTACACTTGGATAGGATGCATAAATTCGACTGAGCGGAATCCCGTCGCAGCAACAATGAGATCATATTCTTGGAGGGCGCCATCAGTTGTTTCGATTCCAGACTCGGTAACGCGCTGGATCGGTCGTGTCTCGAGATGCACATTTTTCTTGTTCAATGCGGGGAAGTAGTCGTCCGATGGAATGACACGCTTGCAGCCAGGCGAGTAATCTGGGGTCAGCTTGTCCCACAGCTCGGGCTTATCACACAGCTGGCTTTTCATGGCATCGATGGCCATTTTGCGTATAAACCCTGCCATTGCCGAGTCGGACTTCGCGATAGCATCATGGCTGAACTCGCGAGCTTGCATCATGAGGGCGCGTTTGCACCAGCGGATAGGTGGCACGTAGGAGAGCAAGAATCTTTGAATAGACGAGATACTCGTATCATACCGAGGGATGACCCAGTTGGGGGTCCGCTGGTACACCGTGACTTGCGAGACCGATTTAGCCAGTTCGGGGACGATTTGGGCGCAAGTGGCGCCTAAATAAGTCAATCCAACGACCATGACAGTGATGATTTGAAAATGAAAAGGACACTAAATACCATTTCCGATGATGGCGACGCGTTTTCCGGTGAAATCATATGTCCAGTCCCACCGGGCAGAATGCATCAATTTGCCGGTGAAGTCGTCGAGACCGGGAATAGAGGGCCAACTTGGCACATTGAGCTGACCCACTGCAGATACCAGGAAGTCGGTGGTGATGTCGTATGACTCGTGGAACTGGGTGTCTTTAGCCCCCGATGTGGCCACGCTGACCTTCCACTTGAGCTGTTTGTCATCCCAGCGAGCTTCTTGCACGGTTGTGTTGAAGCGGATGTATTTATAGAGACCATATTTCTCCGCGACGTGAAGAAGATAATCCTGGGCGTGTTAGATGGAAGCCGGACACAATCGGTTCACATAAACGTACCCGAATCTCTTCCTGACCCGGATACTCTCTCGTCCAATCGGTCTTCTGCTCAAAAGAGAAGCTGTACAACGTGCTCCAGACTGGCGATAGTTTAGTCTAAGCTAATGAACGACCGGAATTCTTGATGCACGTACTGTCACAGGCGCATCCAGGGTATCTGTTGTCACTCCAGGTGCCTCCGACTTGGCTGCCTTTCTCCAGAATGACAATGTTACGGCATTGGCTTCGCTTGATAACATCAATAGCCATACAGAGACCTAGGTGTCCGTTAACCAGTTGTTCTGCAGCCACCACACGAGGGTATCGTCAGGCAGTACCAGATATGCCCGCCCCTATAATAACTACCGTAGAGGACGTATAGTCATGGTTTCCGACCGGACGGCCTGCTTGGAACCCCGTCATTTTGGCAAGTTTGGGTGAAACGTCGTGCAGGCGATGTTTGCCTCGCATGAGCTGAGGGGGTCCATTTTTGACAACACCAGGGAAATGCAGCTGAGTCGGGGTACCGAGGTAAGTATCGGGAATGAGAGTAGTGAATTGACACACCCAAGAAGGGTTGAAGACCAATAGTGTTGGCCTAAGGTTCTCCATTTTGATGGATCGGAGTCTTGGACTGCCGAATGAGGATTAGCGTAGATATCGTGTGTGCGGGGGTCATGTGTTAGGGTCCAATGATCGCCGCCCACTTCTTTGATGCTCCTTTCATTCTGCATTCATAACTACATGGAATGCGAATCATGATTTTCCACGGAACATTCCTCCGGACACAATGCTCTCTATTTCTCTACATTACAGCTATACAATCCACAATTCGGCAGTGAAGCATGGAAGCTACAGCTTGGCCACTCGATCCAACTTCTTCAGTTCTCGTCGCAAGATCTTCCCAGATGGGTTTCGTGGAATAGCCGGCACAAAACGCACTCCTCCACGCAAGCGCTTATAATTAATCACCTGATCACTCACATACTGATATATAGCATCAGCTGTGTTCTGGTTGCCCTCGTATCCCGGCGCCACAACCACATATGCTCGGGGCAGTTCTGTCCCCGACTGGTCGTCTTTGATTCCCGTCACAGCCACATCTGCGATGGCAGGATGCCCTAGAGCGATGGCCTCGAGTTCAGCCGGTGCCACCTGGAACCCATTATACTTGATCAACTCCTTCACTCGGTCTGTGATGTAGAAGTGGCCACTCTCATCCTCGTATCCCACATCACCAGTCTTGTAATATCCATCTTCAGAAAAGGATTCACCGTTGGCCTTCGGATTATTCAGGTATCCAAGAAAGACATTCAGCCCTTTGACCCAGAGCTCTTTGGACCGTCCAGTCTCCCCCTCAACCGGGGCATACTTGGCAGTCATATTCGGGAGAAGACGACCAACGGAGCCCGGGTGGCTGTGTGTCTCGTTCCATGTCTAGAACAATCATTAGCCACGGCCCAGTTATTGCCTGGCACTCAATACCTACCTGCATGTGCGTACACGGAGCACATTCACTCATCCCATACGCCTGACGCACGCTGAAATTGAGCTTCTGATGCAAAGTTTGGATTAACTCCACCGCCAGCGGCGCAGCAGCGGAGAGCATCATCCGTAGCGAGCTGAGGTCATACTCAGTGATACGAGGATTAGACACCAGTTCTAGGATAATCGGTGGAACTACATATGCGTAGGTGATTCGATGTTTCTGAATGGTGGCGCAGAATGAATCGAATTGAAATCTGGGCATGACGAATGTCGACAGACCAAGGTAAACGGTATGGTTGAGAAGATATGTGATGCCTATTCACGATATCAGGTGTGTTTGGGTTTAGTATTAATGGATGATAAATACCATAGATATGAAAGAAAGGCAACAAAGCCAGGGTGCTATCGCCCTCGCCGTGCATGCCTCCATTCCATGCCAGCTCGCCGTTATCGACTGATGCAGTCTGCAGCAAGTTTGCAATCATGTTGCGATGCGAGAGCATCACAGCCTTGGGGAGACCAGCTGTGCCGGATGAGTAGACTAAGAAAGCCAAATCTTCCGCTGGACGGTCAATCGGGGCCGAATGTGGCCCATTCACTCTCCCATGGTCGAAGTCATCTTCTGTTAGCTCATCCAGAACTATTACACGGTCGCGGGGGAGGCCAGCACGTTTGGCAGCCTCAAAGGCCACCGACGCTTGAGCTCTCTGTGTTACGAGAGCCCTAGCCTTGGTACCTTGTAGGGGATGCAGCAACTCCTCCGCGCGGTAGTTAGGGTTCACCGGACAGACCACGCCGCCGATGGCAAGGGTACCCCAAACGATGGGCGGCACATCGATTGAGTTCGTGGTGAAGACGACTAGGACATCGCCTTTCTGCCAATCCCATTTTCGACGCAAGGAGTGGCCGAAGGACAGAGCTCGTTGGCGGATTTGCGTATACGTGAGACACCGTTCAGTGTCGGCGGCGGTGAACAGAACTGAAGAGTCAATAATCAATCCACCGCGCAGATTATTCTCGGGCCGAACGTACCTTTATCAGCTGGATATGGCCGATCAGCTCGTTCGAAGAGAAAACTCCAAAGATCGACATCCGGAATGGCGACCGATGGAAAGGGGGAGGTCACTACATCCATCATCAACACAACGGTCAAATCTACTCTATCGGCCTGGCAAAAACAACGAGGACCTGTCATGCAGCGGCCGTGTGATATATCACTGGATCGACGGGCTCTTATTACCGGACCATGGGCAGAGAAATTGTATGCCAATCATTGCCATGACTGGCGAATAATCGCTAACGCAGGATTCAAGGTAAGGGGCAAATAGACCAGTTCGAAATAGATTAACATAACAGTACGGGTCTATATCGAAGCCTATTATAGCCCAACCTGAACATATTCTCCAAAGTGCGAAGAACAGTATCAACATATTTATATCTCTAGACCACTATACAAGAAGACACAAAAAAGTAAACACAGACATCTAGAACAACACGCTCAATGCAAGTCTATAGTATATACATGACCATCAGAATCAGCCGTAGATCATCCGTACAACATATCGCAAATCGTCAGACGCTGAAACAGAAACCCAACCCATAAGCGAAAAAAAACCAGATAGATAAATTAATGCCGTAAAGTAAAGTCAAAGCTTAGTCCGCATTATTGGCGCAGGTGAAGCTGGCCCGAGAGCTGTCGTCGTGGATGGCCTTGCCGGAGGCGTACAATCCCAGACCGCACTGTGAGATGACAGTTAGTATACTCATAACTTTTTAAGACTTAAGAGGGTGGACAAAGGGTCACATACAATAGTACCACCAATACCAACAATCAAGAAATTAAGAATGGTGAGGGCAATCTTGCGAGGAGACGAGAACCAGTAACCCCAGTTCATGTGCAACCAGTACACGCCACTCAGACCGTAGGTGAACCAACTGGCGAACAAAGAACTCTGTTTTTGGTATCTATTAGCAAAGATCTTCTTTTCCAAGTTCCGACGCAAGAGTGCCAAAAGAGAACCACATACAATCAAGCTAACAATATTGGTGAAGCTAGGAATACCCTCTCCAATAATCCAAGCGATAATCCAGCAGGTCACACCAATGCCAACCCAGGAACCAACGGAGACGAAGTCGCGCTTAGCCATGCGGCCAGACTTCCGGAAGATGCGAACATAGATGTACTTGAGACCGACGTGGCCGTTGACGACACCGGCACCGATGATGGTGGGGATGGCCACACCGTACGCGACCTTCTTGAGCACAGGGCCGGCGGATCCGAGAGCGGGTGAGGCGACACCAGTGCCGACGTAGTAGTAGATGACGGTGGCGGCGGTGACGTAGAGGGCGATCTCGAAGCCTTGCAGCAGGCACAGAGCCTTGGTGAAGTCCTTGGGTTCCTCCATCTCGGCGATCAGACCGAAGAAGGCGACGTGGGCGCAGTAGGCGAACACAATGTTGGTCACGGCGGTGAAGCCGTGGTAGATGTTTGTCTGCTGGGTGGCGTAGATGCTAGTGCCGCCCTTGTATTGGACACCGACACCGATCATGGTGATCATGACTGCGGAGAAGATGCTAATGAAGGCTGTAGGGATTGGTTAGTCGACTGTTTTGGAATTTTATTCCGGTTCCATAGGAAGACATACAGGCGATGGAGATGTAGGTCATGTTCTTGATCGTACGGGGCAGTGACAGGACCAAACAGATCACCATGCCCACAATACTGAAGACAATGGAGCAGGTGCCATGCTCGGTGATCGTGTTCATCATGACGGTGAAGGTGACAATGTGACTACCCATGATAAAGATGGAGAACAGGATCTGGCCCAGACCGAAGAGTTCACGGCCGAACCGACCCATGAGGATTTCGCCGGCATCAGCCAGGTTGTGAATATGCGGATGACGCTCGCGGAATTGGCCAATGACCATTCCAGTGTAGAGAGCGAGAATACCAAGACCGACAATCAGAATGAGCGCCCTATCGACGAATTGTAAGAACCAGGTTGTAGACGCAATATTGTGAGAGGACTCACGGAACAAAGCCCAGTGTATCAAGAGTAGCAGGAAGGGACAAGACTCCAAGGGACACCGATTCGGCAATCATGACTAGTATTGTTAGCTATGCTGCGGATTCGATAGGTCTCATTCGACGACTAAACATACACATTCCACATTGCCTGAGACGTTAGTCTAAATCACTGTTGTCCAATGCATACAAGGGGATCCGCAACTTACCACCACTTCAGCGTCTTGTACTTGACCTCCGCAGTTGCTTCATTACCAAATGGGTCATCGACAGGGGTGTTGTCCAGCTCCGCCTTCAAATCATCATCCGCGTACATGGGGTCGCCATGCTTGTTCTCGATTGGGTCGGACGGTGGAGGGACGCCTTCCATCAACATCTTGACGCGACTATTGCGGGGCGAGGAGCGTCGAGAGATGGAGAGTATAAGACAGTCAAGTATATGAGACAGCCAAGTTACCCTCTCCTGTCGAATGTAGAGACGGTCAAGAGTGATGAAATAGAAGAAGTCCAGAGGCCGTGGCAGACGCTATAAGACTATCCTCGCATCCGCCGAACACCGGGGCTGGGAGATAAGCGCAAAGGATGTTGAGGAAGTCCGCGGTGGGAGAAAATTCTCACAAGCCCTGGTGGGTCACGGCGTTGAGATCCCGTTCTCTCCACGCGATCCCTTTGGAAGCCAAAGTCAGTCTGGAGTTAACGGTGGCCAATGCCGTCAAGGTATGTCCGAGGACCAGTTCTCGACCAACAAACAAGGAACCTGGGGAACTGTGATATCACACGATACGTCCTGCTGCATGCATTCCTGCAATGTTCTATCAGCAGAGATATACCCGCAGCAGCAAACTTTCCTGATATCCAACCGACCGCGTTTGGGGGGCTGCAGGCGACGCATTTAGTCACGGTTTATACAGTTTCCCGAAACTTTCCCGAATGCGAGGATCTCATAGGCGCAGATTTCAAGCTCGAGAGACCCACACTTTGCATGCGGCCGTGGACGGGAGGCCCCACTGGAACCAATGGGAATCCTTATCGAAACAAATTAAGTAACAGTTTGGACCCACTTGTAAAAGCTTTGCACCCGTACGGACCTTCTATTGGTTCGGGACGCTTTCCATTACTCAAGGGATTCGGTTGAAATCCGTTCCTGCCTGAGGATCTTCGCTCTTCGTGGAATAAAGTATTGTCTTCCTTTCTATAATTGAACTGCTCTTATTGCATGTCTCCAGAGTCCCCCCATATCTCCCCAGGTGGCGATGCAATTACCATTTGCTATGTTATAATCGATTTCCTCTCTCCCCGCTTATCTATGCCAAGACGCTGGAAAGAGAGGAGAAAAGATAAAATAATAAATTCATAACGTTTATGGCCTGATCTTTATGCTTGTCCGCATTAGTCAGACTGGCACTGAGCGGAATAATAAAAATTGTCTAATTTTTTACCTTCTGGATGCAACCGTGTCAGAGGCTTAATTTAGTGTCGATCCCAAGAAAAAATTATTTCTTGGTCAAAACCCTAATTTTCGTGTATTTTAGGCTGCAGGTCTTAGCATATCGGTTAAAATCTCCTGTGTGAATGTGTGCTGGACTAAACCAACATCACCCCCGCATCTTGAGTAAAGTCCTTATTGGTCACGAGGGCCAAACCGACCGTGAGCGAGAAGGAAAGCGATAGAGTAATAGAATTGCCACTCGGTGTAGAAATCGAAACTCAAGGAGTACATCCGAGGCCGAGGCCGTGTGAGGCGACTGCCGGATCGGGCAAGTTTCTCGATTTTCTCGGGCTGGTTTTCTCTACCCCAATTCCGTAGCACTACCCCAACTGTTCTCCACGGTGCCTGGAAGTGTTTGCGTGCCAGTTTATGCTATGGGTGGACTGATTCCCTTTGCGTATACTGTGTATGTACTTGGCAACTTTTACACCAAAGCATGATCTATGTACATGTTGCACGATATTCGCAACCCAGACCTACGATCCTAGCCGAGAAGCAACGGGAAGCCTACAACCCACTCCGAGTCTATGCGAAATGATTATATACCTAATATGCAGGTTGAAGTGTAACAGGCTTTGCGGTGGATATGCGTCATTTTTAAGAGGCGTCTGATTGACTGTCATGCCGAAAACCCGGGCTATTCGGGGTTGGACGGTAGGTTGGTGGAGATCCCTGCGACATATATGTCATGATTCTAAGCGATATGGACCGCCACGGTCTCGCCGTAGAAGTGCGCATTAACCGACATTGACGCCCTTGCATCCTGTCGCTGATCGTATAACAAGTTTGGTAAGTGTGGGGTATTTGGGGTCCCCGCAAGATTGGTCTGTGGTCATTATGGATTGAACGTGCGGTCGTCTGTCCAGTGTCTCCACGTCACTCATAGCCTGTGCCTGTGGTATGATGAGTTATGTCTATTTCGTTTGCCTGAGTAAGGAAAACCTTGCCCCCTGAATGACTAAGGAATTTTGCATTCTGAGGCCAAGGTTTCACAATATCGGAACTGCCCTACATCAAAAGTTTACGATAGCCGCTGCTGTCCTTCGATTTTTCAGCAAGGAGGTTCCAGCTGCTTATGTCCTTTTCAAGAGTACCACGTGGTCATAATATGTGGTCAGATGTCTCTAACTTTAGAAATATATGCAACTTTGCCTTGGATAGCATATAATATTGGCTTATACGTGTTGTACGATATGAAAGACCACTTGACGGCCTGTTGTTCCCAAGGTCCCTGTAGATCTCATGTAACATTTGCATGGACCTCGTATAACAGCTCCCTTGTCTGTCAGCTTGACCATTTTTACTAATAATCCAATTAATTTGCTCACTTTTGTCGAATCTCCAGCCTCCACGTGGCCTCTTATAAGTTAGGCAGGTAATTGGTGCCCAGGTCTATTGTGATCGCATCGTTCACTATAGTCACCTGAACCATCTACAGCATCAAAGTAGAGCTTGGGTCAGTCTTAATTCTCTACCAAAGTATGGACATGATTCTGTTTTGAGCTATGACTTGGACGAACCACTTACCGAATTGGGATATCTATATGTGATACTGTCCTGTTATCCTCGCGGTAAACTTATGCTATTTGAAGGTTTATTGCTTGTAATATTTTCCAAGGATATCTTGCACAAAGCTTTTGGGGGAGAGAGTTCGTAGCTCGTGTGTTAGTTGTATATAGAGACTTATTTCGCGTGTTACCTATTAGACCACAACATTATTCCGCACTTGGTGTAGCCTTGGGCTATCTGACATTCAACATATCGACATAGACTATATCAAAGGCTTATTTACACCAAATGTGCTATACTTACTAAATTCTAATTACACCATCGGTACATCTAGAGGTGCTTACACAGTCCGCTATGCAGGGCCCTATTTATCAGCATGGCCTAATTTAACTGCCCCGCATGTCGCGGGTCGAAACAAAATCTTCTCAGTGGTTGGACATTCCAAGTAGTGGCACTTGCATATTCGTCTCTTGGGCTCTGAGAATGCCCTGGCTTTTACAAGCCCAATCTCACATTGTCGTCTAGTATATATACGCCGTGTTCTGAAGTGAAACCTGGTAGATAGACAATTTGACTACTCTATAACAAAACATGACCCGTCTCCTAGGCAAAGTAGCCCTCATAACCGGTTCCTCCTCCGGAATGGGTAGGGCCATTGCCCTCCGCTACGCAAAGGAGGGTGCACACGTCGTCTGCGCAGACATATCGCCAACTGCTCGACCCATAGTCCCCGAAGAGGTCAAGATAACCACCCACGATGCTATCATCGAAGCAGGCGGACGAGCCATTTACGTTCAAACAGACGTTGGTGAAGCCCAACAAATGGAACGAGCGGTACAAACAGCAGTAGCGGAGTACGGTCGACTGGATATGTAAGTTCCGTATTATCCTGCTATTCTAACTACTAGGACGCAAATAACTTAACAAGTGTATAGTTTAGTCAACAACGCCGGAATTGCCACAGAGGCCTGGACTCCAAGTCGAGTCCACGAAACAGATGAGCTCGTCTGGGACACGATCCTACGGGTGAACACGAAGTCGGTCTTCCTTGGCTGCAAGTATGCAATTGCGCAGATGTTAAAACAGGAGCCTCATTCTTCGGGTGATAGGGGCTGGGTTATTAACCTAGGCTCTGTATGGGGGTTGGTGGGAGCGCTGGGTGCTCGTATGTTGTATCCTGAGGATTTGGCGTTGGTTTGAATGTTTCGACTGACATGGGTGTAGCGGCTTATTGCGCGTCTAAAGGAGCTATTGTCAATTTGACTAGGCAGATGGCGCTGGATTATGCCCCTGATCGGATTCATGTGAATGCTATTTGTCCTGGAGGTATGATTTCCTCTTCTTTGAGTGAGAGTGGGAGCAGGTTTGGACTAATGATTCTCTATAGCTATTTACACAGCTATGGTGCGCTATCTCGAGGAAGTTTCACCATCTGCAATAGAGTCGCTACGTCAGAAGCAGCCCTTTAAGGGGGTTGGGTATCCAGATGATATCGCCCGGATGGCGGTGGTGCTGGCTAGCGATGATGCCAGCTTGGTGACGGGGGTTGCTTTGCCAGTTGATGGGGGATACACTGCGCACTAGGAGTCATATACATTGGTCAATGATGCCTCGATAAGAGTGATGCGGTTCATTTAACATCTTGCACGGTTGATTCTCTCAGTGAAGGCATACCTCCAGTCTAAAATTGACATTATGAATATTGTTCTTCCACAGAACGGAGACTCATATGGAAGATGTTGAGCAGTGCAATGCATAATGAGAAACAATAAGAGAGTAATATCCACACCAATATATGGAAAGCCGTGAAGCAGCCCGGCTATACCTGCGGAATATGCAACGTGCGCACAGAGGTAAAAACCTCCCTACTATACTCACCCCCCTCTCTCCCCGTACCGGAAGACTTCATCCCTCCGAACGGCGTCCCTAATTCTCGAACCAGCCAACAATTGACCCACACCAACCCAGCCTCCAGCCTCTCACCGACACGTCGCATGCGTGCCCCATCCTTAGTCAACAAGATACTAGCCAGTCCATAGTTACTATCATTGGCTTTCCGAATGGCTTCTTCCTCTGTATCGAAAGGAGTGAGAGTGACAACCGGGCCGAAAATTTCGTCCGTCAACAACGGACTCGACTCCGACACCGTCAAGACAGCAGGCTCTATCCAGAACCCCCCTTCTGGATTTTCCGGTGGTATAGAACCGAGATGAAACACGCTGACGGGGTCTTCTGCGGCTAGGGAGAGATACGACCGGATCTTGTTATAATGTGGTAAGGAGACTACAGCACCGACTGTGTTACCTAATTCGTAATGCTTTTTGATATATGAGACGAAGCGTGATACGAACTCCGACCAGACTCTTCTCTGGACATATATTCGGGAACCACAGAGACAGATCTGAACATCGTTAGTTCTCTGCTCACTGGCTTGGAATCTTCGGACTGGGTAGTACCTCTCCTTGATTCTCGAACGCGGCAGCCGCTGCGGTCGCGACGGCCTTGTCCATGTCAACGTCATCGAACACGAGAGTGGGATTTTTCCCGCCGAGTTCGAGCGATAGATGCTTCCCGATGTCGTCGACGGTATCGCGACGGATTTGTCGGCCGGTGGCTGTGCCCCCGGTGAAAGAGATGCCTTTGACGAGCGGATGGCTAACCAGAGCTGAGCCGGTGGGATTTCCAGCTCCGTAAACTAGGTTGATTACACCTGGGGGAAGTCCGACATCTTGGAATACGGCCGAGAGGACTAGATAACTATTAGGTCGACCAAGTCATTGAAGTCGAAGGCGTGCATTACATACGGTAGGCTGTCACGCTAGTCAATTCACTCGGCTTTGCCACGGCTGTACATCCGAAGGCTAGACAGGGCGCGATCTTCCACGTAAGAAGATACAAGGGCATATTCCATGGCGAGATAAGAGCGAAGACACCTTTCGGTGAACGATGTTCATAGGTCAAAACATTGGTATCTGTTAACCGGGCATGGGTTTCTTGGTGCAGGATATAGGTCGCAAAGTATCTACCCCATCGCACGCGTTAATTCCAAGAAACACAAGTTTGCAAAGCGATTCGGAATTGTCCCACCGGAAATTAGACACCGCGCGATCAATCTCCACTCTCGCGCGCGTCAAGGTCTTTCCCTGGTCGATGCTTTCCCAGACAGCAAACAATTCTCGTTGTTCTTCAATTCGCGAAGCAATGCGCTGGAGGTACTGTGATCGTTGCGAGGGAGGTGTGGTAGACCACGCAGGAAAGGCTGCGTCGGCGGCTTTGACGGCTTGATCGATTTGCTCGGGAGTGCTGTTGGGGATGCATGCAAAGTGGAGGCCGGTCTTGGGGTTCATGGAATCAATCCAATCATTGTGGGGGTGAGGGATGAGGTTTCCATCGACGAGGTTTTGGAGCTTGAACGGCTGGAAATCGAGCCACTGGAGATGGCCCTCCGCATCTTCAAGGGTATCGAGTTCCCACAGCTGTGGAGACATGGCAATTGTAACTCTCTTAGGCAACTTCAGATTAATACAGGTGATATAACGCCAGGAAAAGAGAAAGGGGAGAAATTGGGAACATATCCGGGGACGACAGAATACAGGCAATGCATCGGATGTTATCCGGTCAAGTGAGTGTGGTCTGATCCTGTCATCCGGCTGTAAATAATGCCAAGAATCCACTAAGATAAAAAGTCTCGCCAGAGATAATCCGAAACCTGGAGAACACCTAAAAGGGGTATTGTTGGTGCTATTATAAAAACTATGGAGTTGAAAATGTTTGCTTAGGGCTGTCTGCTATCCCAAAAGGGTTATATGGGATAACCCTGACAACTCCACTCTAACAATTCATAGACCAAGAGAACCATGTAGATCTACTACCACTACGCTCCATAATAACCAGGAAGCTATTTCGGATCCGCGATCGCTCCACAGGCCCCACACTGCCGACTCTCCTCATCCAGCTGCCATCTCTCAATCAATGGCTTCAATTGCGTGCCCAGATCAGCACAGTGGAAAATCTCTTCGCGTATGATTGTTGGTTTCCCATGCTGTCCCTTGCTACAGTACCATCGTAGACGATCTAAGGTATCTTCTGGTCGCTTGCGTTCCATAACTAGTCCGATAGTGTCCGTGAATCGAACTGGATTATGCGGCGTGTTCCCTGTTACATTAGAATAGAGCCGTTTTGTGATGGGGCTATCCACACGAACCAGGAAGTAGGAACATTTCTCCCTCCTTGATAGATATATCGCGAAAAGTTGTATCATTCTCGACGATACGCAAAAGCATGTCGCCTTTGACCTGGTAGAACCATTCTTCGGTTGGGTTGACTACCATAGAGGGAGACCAGTTAATACTAATTGAGTATATGTCTTAAAAGAAATATATCAAAAGGGATATGATACCATGATAGTCATTTCGAGCATTGGGTCCCCCGACAACCATCAGAGTAAAATCCTCGCCGGAGTAGAGACAGTAATTGTTCACCGGCGGATGGAGTTTGTCCTCATTCTCCGCTACCCACGATGCAAAAGAAAATGGAGGAATCATATTGGTAAATGCAAATACCAACAAGTGTAAAAGGTTACTATCCACCACCAGGGATGTATAAACGATAAAGGAGCTTATATGTTCACTGCACCTGACATTGACTTTCGCTACGAACCGCGGGGCTACGGGGATCTGTCCCTTCTGGTCTGAAACTCAGACACTATAGGTGCGCCTGGGCATCGTCTACATCCACACACACATCTTACTTCACGTAACCTAGAAAACATGTTGCAGAGGCGTCCGTTTCCCCTCACTGCAGTTAGGGTTAATCGCCCGAGGAAGCGGAAGTAGATCCGGCGGATACGGATGCCGGATGGTGATCCGCTTCGAGCAGTGCTATCTGGCTTCAGTAGTGCTGATGATGCATTAAAAACGTATAATTTGGTATCGATATGTTTACCATACATGTTGTTGAGCAATGTGGAATCTATTCTTTTCTAAATCTACGAACATCCGCCTATACTCGGAAGAGATTGATCAGATCGATAAGGCCGTTCCACGTATTCTGTGGAGGCAGCTGGCTAACAAGGCAGGTCTCCATGTGTAAATGTAAATCTCACTGCGTAAAGCTCTATATTAGCTATCTATCTGATGATACTTGCGGCCCTAGCTCATGGTTTGAAATTTGAGGTTCGTTAAATTAGCCGTTCTCGTACCAAGTGGCTCGTGTAGAATTATACGGTTATGATACAGATAGAAAAAAATAAGTGACATAACAAGTTGTATCTATACAAGGTATATCAAGCTCTTCACATTTTATATTGCTTATTACGTCTCAAATGCCATGATTATGCTTGGTCGTAAATCAGGTCTCCGTAATACGTACTAGAAAAAGAAAGCAAAAAGACAAGGAGAATGAGGAATGAGAGAGACTAAGACAAATATTGCTTCGAGCCATGCCCCTCCTCAGAAGCCCTCAATCGCATTTCCACTAAATCCCTCCATTTCTCATCGGCATCAAGATTGAGAAAACGCAACGCATTGCCAGCCAACATGTCCGCTCTTTGCTCCCACGACAGAAATTTCTCCAAGCGCTTATCCCGCGCAATCATTCTACCAGCTTCCGGGACTTCACCCAAGGGAAACGGATAATCGCTACCCATGACGATCCGGTGTGCCCCGACCTTCTTCACCAGAAACTCGAGAAGATCAACATCGTGAGTAAGGCTGTCAATCCAGATATTATCGCGCATAGTCGCGTGTTCCGTCGGAGTGACACCGCCTGCATCTGTGGCTACGAGATCCGGCCGACAGTCATATCCATGCTGAATACGACCCAACAATGCAGGGAAAGAGCCGCCCGCATGAGCAAAGCAAAGCCGAAGTCGGGGGAATCGTAATAGCGTCCCCGAGCAAATGAGGAGATGTAAAGCAAGCGCCGTCTCGCTGGGCATGCCGACCAGCCACGAGCTCCAGTACTTAGACCAGAGTTTCGGGTTCTCCTTTGGCCAGGTATAACCCAGCGGGTGGATGAAGATGGGCATTTCGAGCTCCTCGCAAGCCTGCCAGAATGGGTCTAACTGCGGGTCATCTAGTGTCATTCCGTCGATCGTAGTGCCAATTTCCACGCCGTGTAGGTGGAGTTCGTTCTTCGCTCGACGCAGCTCTGCTACCGCTGCTGAGACATCCTGCAGTGGCACTGTCGCCAGACCTAGAAACCGGGCGGGATGTTGTGCGCAGAGATCGGCGATGTGGTTGTTCAGATGTCTGGCTAGGATTGATACTGGCTCGGCAGGCTGGTCGTAAAAGAAGAGAATTGGGATCGTGCTGAGGACTTGGATGTCGGTCCCAGAGGCGTCCATCTCTGCTAGGCGTGTGTCAACATCGTAGCAGTTCCTGTTGACTGTGCGGAAAAAGCGATCGCCTACGTACATGTCGATGTCTTCTGGGTTCTTGACGTTTGCCCGGAGAGATAACCATGGGGAATTTGTGGAGTTTGAGGGATATGACGAGAGATCTGGTAGAGACGGCGGCATAATATGCGTATGAAGGTCAATACGCAGAAGGTTATGGCAGTCGTGGCAATACATGATGATATCTTCCTTTATTTTGGAGTAATGAATACAATACTATGGAAGATGAGGGGGATCTTATTTAGTTTCCTATATAGGAGTTCTATCGTTGCATCCGTCTTCGTATTCGTCCGGATGCTTCCCGGAAGGATTCCGGGTGTCTTGCTTATAGATTCTCGTGACCATACGCTTCGTCAACTTAGGAGACGTAGTCTCTATAGTTCTCTGATCAGTGTCAGTACAGATTATACCGAGGTGAATATTGTGTACATGGCGACCAAGTATCCACGGCCCGGATTTGGAAACACCTAAGGATTCGGTTGTCCAGTGTTTATCATTATGTGGATCACTTGGAACCTTGTATACGTTCCAGGTGGAGAAATAAAGGAAACTCATGATTAAGTAAATGTTAAACTATGCGTATAAGGCGTACGAAGAGGAGACACAAGAAGAATGATCCATTTGGCTGAGATGCTGTGGTTTAGAGTAGGATGCGTGTCAAGTGTATGGCCTGTAGGTTGACCGTAAAAAAAGACGAATAGGGCAAAGAAAATGAACTACGCAGAGAACGAAGAAAGTTAAAGAGAGAATACAATAAAGAACAAAGAGACAAATGAATGAGAGAAGAAAAATAATGGAGAAAAACGAAAAAGATAATTCCGATGCGGGGAATCGAACCCCGAGCTGCTGTGTGAGAGACAGCGATGTTAGCCATTACACCACATCGGATGATTGTTGAAGTACATAAAAAGTACTTTGTTCTATAAGTAAAAATTATAAGCATAGGTCCATTACAGTCTCTCAGTAACATGGAATATGGTGAATGGTTGACAGGATATAGACATATGTATGTTGTGGAAGACCTTTTATAAGTGGGTCTATTCGCATAATTAGTGATAAAGAACCAGTAACTTTACACTTAGCCCTGGTGGTGCTTAGTACGGTCTTGCTAGCATATAGTTATATATATACGTGTGACTCAGCAGTTTGAGACACTTTGTTAGTCGCTCGACTTGGTCCCTCAATATCTTTGTTGCTTAGATCCTTTATCTCTGGAACGCTTTGTGAAGGCCTGAGGACTTCTATATCAACCTCATTCTATAATGGCCCTCAACTTACCAGCGATAGATCCCCATAGCCAAATCGATCAAAATTTCCACCTTTCTCTCTCCCTCAACTTTTCACATATCTACCCTCATATGTGCATAAGATGAGATGTAGGAGATCTATGTGAGTGAAAGATACAAGAAATCGAACTCTTCTAACTTCATTAAAGATCTAAAGCAAGGGAATCCGCCATTGCCAAATGATTTGCTAAGGATACTGAACGCTTACATGACCTAGGCAGTAAGGCCTTGGTCTAAGCACAAAACACTTGTGGGAAGGAGTGAAAAAGTTCCAAGAAAATGGATATCCGATGCTAATTTATAACATAAATTTTTCTCCAAGCTTGAATGCTATTTGCTAAGTACATATATACTAGACTCAATCAGCTTCATTCATATTCACAACGTCTCTTAACATATCATAGCAGATCTTCTCGCTCACAACGCTATCCTGTTGATAATCTTCATGTCCAGCAACAAAGTCTCTCATCCACCTTGCGGGAGTTGGTAGACTTCCACTCGCTCGACAACTGATGAGGTTGAGATATTGCATCAGCTTGACCTCTTCATTGGGAAGCAAATCCCGTTCCAGTAGGTATGATCGCACGATGGGTACTAGCCCTGGGAAACGAGCCGGTGATGTCGAGTGCTCGCCGTTGATGATCTCATCAATGGTCATTAAAGCATATACATCCTCCCTCTGTGGCTGCGCGCAACCATATTGAGGATTGCACTGAACGGAATTCAGCCCGTCTGGAGCCCATTCTCGTCGCCGAAACCAAACGCGCTCCTTGGTCACAGCATCAAGCTTTTGTGCTCGTTGCATGGACTCCGTCACTAACTCGATAGGGATATAGAAGTTCAGCCGGTACGCCATGATAGCCCTGGACAACAAAAACATGAACACCGAGAATGCTGCGTTTTCCAAATCTTTGAGTTGAACTTCCATGGGACGGAACTCAACCCGCCATCCAGATCCTGTGCTAGCTTCCGGCATTTTCAAGTGAACATGCTTCCATACTCCATGTTGAAACTTCTCAAACATATGAGTAGTCTCCGGGCTGCTCAATTCGATCGCATCTTGGTTCAGGCACAGTGGATCGTGCCATAGGAGATTGGAAAAGTATGAAGCTATAGATTCGTCCATGCCTCCATCGAGAAGCTGCCGCTTCGCTGATTCGTCCATTTGAACTTGTCCACAGGCATTTGCTATACCTCCTGGTCGTTCATGTGAGAGATACACTCGGTTTGAAGACCAACGGGTTAATGGACTTGAGCAACATTGCTTAGAAGTCTCTAGAAACTGGAACTCTTCCTCCTGAGTACGGATATCAAAGCTGGCCGTTAGGTAGTCCCACCGCGAATCCGTATTAACCAGATAGCCTTTGTAAATAGGGGTTGCTGCAGTTAAAGCTAGCATGGTGGGACCGAGTATGACTAATTGGTCGTGTAGCCATCTCGCGTCAGGTTCGTTTGCAGCTTGAACTGTGGTCTGGAGCGCGCAGCATGCTCCACCGAACGCCTGCCCTTCGAGATAGACACAGTCCGTCCCAAACAATGCACCTTCGGCTAAACAATCTTCATCTAGGAAAGGTCTCGGCGTGTTACGATCCCTATATATCGGAACATGCAAGCCGACTGGACGTTGTCGTCGACTAAGAACTTGTTGGTTTATATAGAAATAGCGAAGTCCCGGAGCTACCACCTGAGGCGGCACCATTCTGTAGTGGACGTCCCTCTGCGAGGTGCCATAGTGGGGGGTCGTGAATTGGCCTTTGGCACCCAAGCGCGGAAAGGAAGCAATGGTCAACGGGTATTGTGTAGGCCCCAGAAGATCTTTGATTAATGCACGTCTGTAATGGTCAGACCGCTGGGATAGTTAGTACTCAGAGCTGCCTACTGACCTCCGTTTCATGTTCTTCTCGACATTGAGCAGATCTCGTGTTTCGTCGGTGTATGGCTTAGAAGGGGTAGACTCGATTGAAAAGTTCTGCCATTCCGGTTGTAGATCCATGGTCTCATCTTCGAGAGATTCCCTAGATTTTTTGTCAGTTGAATGATTTGTGGTCGCTATAGAGCTCTGATGAGAGACAAAAGTCCTCGCTTACCCAAACTTGCTAGAAACCTGATTATTCCACCGACGTAAGACATCCTCTTGATCTAATACTGCCATTGCACGAGATTGCGAAGGATCAAATTCTACCATTATATATTCCAACTACACGAAGCGGTTAGAAAAATGCCCGCATACCTCTCCCAATTGAGACGTACCTCGTCACCCCATAGGGCCTTTGGGTCCTGAATGTCCTTTCCCCGTTTCCATACGTTCAGGATTTGCTTAGAGGAATATGTATTAGCACGTAAAACTCTGGCTAGTAAAAGGAGAGTGTGGTAGCACCTCGGCAGCCCATTTCCGCGCCTGAGGGCCAATCTTTTGAAGTTCCTCCGGCGACAAGGGCGCTCTTCCGACCCATCTATAGCTTGTCAATTGGGGAGCTCCCCTTTCTGGAATTATGCTTCGAGGTAATTTTCAACGTACGCACGACCCATTATGGCCTATATACAACGAGGGGTATAATAAATCGGTCGATAAAGGTGAATTGGCCGATCATGGTCAGGTATACATAATGTTGGGTACGCATAACGGCGGTGACCAACAAAATTATAATGGAGCAGCAGCAGGAGGAGCTGAAACGAGGAGTTACTGACTGTGTAGTATTTTCTTTACAATACATTGCGTCAAGAGTATACAAATATGGAATTTTATTAGGCCGCAAACAGCAAGTATATGTAGGGTTGCACTCCTTCCGAACCGTGGATGAGCCCCGTCTGGTTCAAAATGACACACTGACTTGATATATCATCCCGTAGTAATCTACCTTGTACCGAAGTTCTTAGCTATTAACCGTGGCTAATGAATGTCATGTCTCTCTGTTGAACGGTTCATACAGTCACTGTCATAAGTTTTGTATTAGAGATTGACCCACATGGAGACTAGGCTCTAGTATGACACTTCCATGCGACGATATACAATAGTGATGTCACCATTAACATATGCAGCCTTGGCGGTTATATATGGAGCACGAAGAATGGCGTGCTTGTAAGTCTGCAGGTTTCATTTAGTTGCATGATAAGTGGACTGTCCATTGTTGTGAACATTTATAAAGACTGAACATGTAGAACAAACGTAGGATTGCACTGGTATACGAGCTCTGCTCTGTCTATAGGGCATAGCGCTCTTGGTCATACTGATGCGCTGTGCCAAAATCATGCGTCGGATCAGCCACCGAATACGTCGCAAGTGCGCTGAAAAACTATGGTCATGATGTACTCGTTTTCATAGACTACAAGTCCTTGATAGCTAGGCTCACGACTGGTGAAGGGGAAACATGACTTGCTGTTTTGTACTACCAAAGTAGTGTACGGCATGGATTGAGAAGGCCAAGTGCAGGATATATACTAAACCAGAGGCTTAGTGCTGTGCTCAGGCTGATAAGTTCGAATCATGTCAGCTACCAAAAAGTACAAAAAGAAGCCCTAATTCTAAGTCAGTTGAACAACAGGTAAAGTCTCGTCTATAGATGATATCTAATGCCGGCCGTCGACAGCTGGGAAGTACATAACTGGTCGTATTTAGGTATAACGAAAATCTATCTCTCCCTTTTGTTTCTCTGCCCCATCTAGTTCGCAGGTCCCGATTCAAGAGTGAAATAAGTGAGCTAATATCAGGTAAGCCCCGTTCCACAAGTCACGAAAAGCTTCATGCTTGTACACTTACATGTGAGAACAATTTTGGCTCCGTAGTAAACCAGATCCTTGCAGAGTATATCCTGCGGTTCTGCTGATAATCCTGTGAGACATCCATTACGAGCTCACTGTCTTTAACGAAGACTCGAAAGACATCCGGTCCCCTTTCTAGGATTGAGTATACCTTCACTGAACAGGGCTCTTGCAGAGAGCTTGCCCGACTGACAGTATCCGTTGCAATATCCCATTGCACCCATTTATGGCTTGGACGTGGCCACGTTGGAGGTGCTCGAAAGCGAAACACATAGAGCGCACTGCAACCGGTTCCGCTTGGCGCATACAAGGGAAGAATATCAAACATAGTCGGTGGGACCTGTTCAACTATTGCTGCAATAGCGTGTTCGCCATCTGCTGGGAAGTGGAGATAGACACCTTCTTGGGGAAGCCTCCATGTTGAAAATATTCTTATGCATTTGTTTGTGTAAATAGTGTTAGCCCAGCCAAGTATTCCTCCAGAACCTCGACAGTAAGGCGCATGCACCATCCGCCCATGTCACATGAGTCGATACTATGTGGAATTTTACGCAATCAGTCTTCAAAGGTAGGATAGAAGGGAAGAAACGCAGAATAGGGGGCAGGGCCTCACTGAATGCCGACGGCAGTAGCATGTCCATTATGCGACAAGAATACAGGCGATCCGCTCATCCCTGACATTGCTGTGGTGCTGTATGTCATGCGGCCATCCTGACAACTAAGGCACCACCCGGTACTTCTAGAAAGTATTCCCAGTTTTGGGTAACCGCAAACGCCTAGGCCGTCACCTTGCAAGTTAGCCTGACCCAAATCTAAGGCAAAACCATAACCACCGCGAAGATACCACCCGGGCTCCATATCAACTAGAAGTGCTCCATAGCCTGAATACACGCCGGCATCGCTCGCACATTTTGGCCCGCTCGCAGAGGGAAATACCTCTACATCCTCAATGTGTATTGAGATATCCAGACCATATTTGTCTTGAATCACTAAATACTGCGATGGCCAGCCGTTCTCATCCATGAGATTACATCTTGCAGTGACCAAAACAGCTCTCTTAACACCAGGGACATTGATACTGAATGCGGTTCCGTAACAGATAGCTCCTGAAATATTCTGTCACTAACCGGGCTGAAGGTTGTGAGATAACCATTTTGGCAGATATTATTTTGGGGGTAGAACGAACCTCCTTGCTTGAACTTGAGCCTGAAAGTCCAATCCTTGAGGTAAAGGATCTCGGAACAATGTAATCCATGTAGCTCTGCAGGGACTGTATATGACTCTCTTACATATAATAACCCCAATTTCTTGTATACCAATGCGAGCCGATCCACGCAGGCCACCGTATGCGGATGCTTCGTGCCAAAGGTTTCTTCATACCGTGACAGGGCTTGTTGGAATTTGTCTGCTGCAATTCCATACTCCTCTGCTTCCTCCAATATTATAGCGATGCGCCACAATATATCTGCTTCATCCGAACAACGCGCATTAGGGTCACATGAGTACCAAGATAATCTACTGTTCAAGGACCTTCGGTCAACCTCCTGATCAGACAGTTCTCTTTGGGGAGCCTGCCAGTCCCAGGAAAGGGACAAGTCCAACAAAACATTGTCTTTCGACCACCTGAGTTCCAGAGGCGCTGCAATCATTATTATGGAAAAGTGATAATGGCAAAGCCGAATTATTGTAGGCTTCGCCGCTCCAGATAACTGACAAATCAGATCCCCTACTTGGACAGGCTTTGCTAGAGCTGGTAGGTGCCATTGTATTTCGGGCCCAAAGGTTCCATCTGTATCTCTTGTAGCAAAGCCCGCCTCCTGCCCATCATCGTGGGGGTTTCTTCTCACTGACAGTACTTTGCCAAGTATATAGCCCTGGCCACTTATTACAGCTCGCTCAGGTGGGTCCCAAAGGCTGATGGACACATCACCCCCTAGCAAAAATCGAATAAGCCGCTCAAAAAGCCGTGTCCATGGTATACTATAGTCAGGCAGTAAACCAGTCGGGATGGAGTCGTCAGAGGACATGCCCAGCAGGGCAAACAGCCTATCATGTTGCTTAGTGGCTTTCCGGGTGTGATACATCTCAAGTAGTTCACCTAGAGGGCGTATTTTCAATGATAGTTCGCTGGAAGTGCTCTCTGCCACTCTCGGCCGAAATAATGACTCTCTCATGAGGAACGTCACAGGGCGGACCACGGCATGCAAATCGGGGAAATCTTTATAGAGGTATTCGAACGATTTGGATGTAAGGCCGGTGGAGAATACATACCCGTCCAGCTCTGTAAGTCCGCACTTTATCAAGATCTGTCGTGCGGCAGCAACCTCCTGAAGGACCTGGATTGTAATTGTCAGGAACAGAAACTTTAGTTTGGTTAGGTGAGTTATAGGATACCCATATGCGCCCAAACCAGGGTCGCTGAAGCAAAGATAACACCGCCTCCTTGGTCAAGTCGTCGTCCACGCTGTGAGGTCTCTGAGCAGCGATCCGTATTTTCTCAAGTGCTTCATCACTATGGTTGTTTCCATATCCAAGCCACACAACCACACGACTGGCTTTGCTGTATATCTCGGCCATGCGCCGAACCTGTTCTCCTCTCTCTTTGAGATCCTTCTGATTTATGCAAATCGCATCGATCCAGATGATTCGCTCGATGTACTCGTCACGAAGAGATAACAGAGCTGTGTAAAGATTTGCAGTAACGGGCAATTTGCAGTCCTCTAATAAGATTAACCGACGGCTAGTCAGGTTACCCCAGACATAGGATAAAGCTTCGTAAATGTGCGTTTTGTCTGCCAACTGCTCTAGGGGATAGTTGAATAGGCGGCCTTGTATACGGGAGTTGCTATCCTTGCTAGGCAGTAAGCGTAGTAGGCGAATACATCCCCGGGGCAATGGAGGGTAATGGTACTCTTTTTGACGGTCGTTGACGTTGTTTTCACAAGTCTCCGCTTGTCCCATAGTGCTTATGTTCCTCCAATGGTGAAGTCCGTTCTTTTTCCGATTTGCACAATTAACAACTTGAAATAACTAGAGAGGCTCGCCGCATTTTTGTCCAGAGGAAACAAGCAGCTTAGCAAAGGTGGCTGGGGCTCTGTAGTGCTCGTTGGACTTTATATGTCAGCCTCGTCTATAAATCCAATTATGGTACCAATATGGGTACAGTAATCTTTGAAAAGCACTATGATTGGTGTTATGGTTCGCTAGCCCCAGGCAGAATGAGGCGATACAGGCCAGTTATACGGAGTACTGACGTGGCGTATCAGAAAAAAACAACGAGACCGCACGAATGTGCCCCGAACAAGACATATTATGGTAGATTAAATGGCATTAGTATTAGAAAATGATACTACTCCGTATAGTGCCATTATTCAAGTTATTCTTGAAACTGGGACTATCCGCACTTTGCTGGGGGCGAGTAACTGGCTGATAGTAGAGGCAAAGTAGGACGTCGGTTCGCCTAGATGGATCCGAGCGATCGGCGCTGCATGCACAGCTGCCCAAAGTTCGATGCTATGACCGAAGTGCAATATATGATAAAGTTGACTTGTTTTCTTTTCTACGGAGAAGAGGGTTTTATATTCCAGGCACTGCATCACGAAACTAAGTAGAAAAATATAGCGCTTTCAAGCACTTGTAGTCTACCCTATATCATTCCGATATATGCCATTGTACTATGCACGCGTTAGATCCACGGCTAACAAAGGGCGATCCACTTCGATAGTCATTACCTATGCCAGGTGTTTCTTCTGCTAAGGTAGGCACGCGTTGGAAGACTTATCCGAGAGACCAAGGACCATAACTGGCATCCCGAAATCCCAGTTTTCCTTGGTATCTTATTATACATAGTGAGCGTTCTTGCTGAAGCCGCTGCATTCTATATCAATCTGCTTTTGTCTACTCTGTGTATACTTCAAACGTAACATAGGTCATGGAAACTGCATCATTTTCTGGCTATCAAGTAAGAGAAAAGACTCATAACGCATTCCACTGCGTAAATATTCAGATGATGTGATTGTATTCGTAATATGTGGCGACGCCGCTGCCCACTGATTCAAAAGCTCACGCCAATAACATGACTCTGCAGCTGGAGTCAAATATCGATCCCGAAACGTAGTGATACTGTTATTGGCAATGCGCTCAGCAGACGCTGGATCGTCTAGCAATGCCTGCATTTTCGCTGGCAGATCAGAAAAGTCGCGCTCTACTTCAACAAAATTCTGATCAGGGCCGGACGAGACAAGGAGATAGTGGTGGTGTTGGATATACTGGAGTTTATGTGCGACGATAACGGAACCGCATGCCTGGCGATATTTCAGAGAAGCAGAATAGGATCGTCCTAGTCCAAATCTGTTAGCCGTGTCCCTCGAGATTAACATGAACAGGAAAAGTCATGCTCACCTTCAACATGAGCAATGAAGCGATACCGGCAGTGGTCTTCCATGCTGATAAAGTTCTCCTTGTCCTTCCATACTATTTCCTTGACGTCAGCCCATGGCTGATTCCTTGCTGCCTCCAGTAATGCCCGTCGCATCTTCGCCGCAAAGCTCAGTTTCCCCCTCCACACCAGCCTCGGTTCTTTCTCCTCCCAAGGTACCTCTTTGTGTCGAATACGATCAACCACCTGAGTATACGGACCGATCTTGCCGTCGGCCCTGCCATGTTCCCATGCCCAAAAGCCGAAGTCCGGCATCAGCCACACGGCTTGTTCATCTGGTTTTCGGGCCAAGACCCATAGAGGGTGATGAGGACTGGTAACATCATCTACTTTATCCTCCACAGAGAAAATAAACTCAGTGTTAGGTAGAGTGGAAGTATCAGGGCCCGAAGCTAATGCCCGATGGATCGAACCCAAGATAGCCAAGATCTTACGTCGATGGTCCTCTCCTCGAGCATGAGTGGATACCACATAGAGCTGACCGTTGACTACTGCGGCACGAGCCATACCTTCCGCCAGGTAAATCTCATTCAAGTCATGCATTGATATGCCATGCTTCGCAGTCCAGAATGTTTCCGCGCGGCGCACATCTTCGAACAGGCCTGGAAAGAAACTTTGACACTGGGCCGCATTCAGGGTTAGGTTTTGTGCATCGTAAACTGGGTTATAAACCCGTGCCTTTGGTGTTGGATCGTCAGGTAGACTAGAAGCGCAACGGAGGCAACTCCCGCATTCGAATGACAGGGCTGTCTGGCAGGCACAATGGCCTGCAGGAATAAGGTGGTTGATCACGGACGGCACATTGTCTCGATCGGAGTTGACACCGAACCATAGGGACCAGATGAACAGTGCAAGGATGCCACAGTAGATAGAAGGAATCCCGAGACAAAGCAAGTAGCGACTCTGGTTCGGTCTTCTCATGATGCCTATGGGGGGAATAACATGGCGAGCGAGAGTGTTTTAAGAGATTTCAACATAATTTCCAAAATATCTTGGTCACCCCATTCCCTAGCGTCACCAGACCTAGACAGAGCGATGTAACATTATATCATGGTCTAAGTATAAGGGGCACGATTGCTTAACGGTGTGATAATTTTGTGTTGGCCAGCGCTTTTTCTTTGATTCGCTGGTTTGGTACATCCAAAAATCCTTAACTTTCCTTGCTGGGAAATGATCTTGGACTTGGCGTTGACCCATCAGCCTCATCCTGGTTCTATTGCTGGGATTAACTCAAGCTATAGTAGTGCTACGGAGTACGTTTCGGGGGCAAAGTGAGGGCTAATTTGGTAGCAGGGCCCACATTGATTTAATACTGGTGGATGGCTTAGAGTGCAAAGGACAACTCAGCCCCACTCTATGAAATAGTACGGAGCACAGTAATAATACTAAGAATCTAGAGGGATAATTATTATTAATAACACCAAGCATCTGATCAGAGACTCAAACACTTGAATCAAATGCTAAGCATAATTGTATAGAACGGAGCCAAAACCACGTTGGTGGCGCAATGTCAAGCTTCCATATGAACGCCGGTGGGCCTTAAGGTAGTCCACTCATAACCGTGGTTCCCAGTTTTCCCAAGGAACTTCTTGCTCTAGATCGGGGAAGCGGAGTCTTTATATATCCAGTGGCAAATTTGCAGTATATTTCGTAATGAACCAAGGGTGTTTACCATTCATAGATACGATTATAACGGCGCTTGCTATATCTTATACTCCTATTCATATAAAGATTGGCATTTTGTCGATCATAGAGAAACAGCCTTAGATCTTATTTAGATCGCAGTGACAATGTAGGGCTGACTTAGGCAGATAAGAACTCTCACGTAGAAAACACATTCGAAAAGGGAAGATACAAATGCCCAGCCATTAGCAGTGTAGAGAAATACAAACAGTTGGGGATAGTCGACGGGTTCATTCGGCCCTTACGGAGTGGATCAATTTACAGCCCCCAAGCACTAACTGTTACGATTCCCGAACTATCACTTTAGCTTGGAAATGTATTCTCCATTTCATAAAACACAGACCCAAACAAGAATGCACCCCGGAGTAAGCGAATCACGCTTGTTAGTTCATTAAAAGGGGCACAACAGCTCCGGATGATTCGGAACATCATTGGCAAGGGTGCGGCAGACTTATCCAGAGCTTCTGTGCATGGTTCTTTTCTATACTTAATTTTATTAAGTCCGAGTATTGGTGGGCTCTAGCGTGAAATCTCCGGTAAGTCAGAAATGCCCTTTTAAATCCTGAGCTACGACCCCGGTTCGAGGGATCGCTACGTATGGAATAGTATCGTGGAGTAACTCCCTCAAAAGACAAGAACATGTATTATTAAGCTCGAATTATCTTTCTCAATTGGTGGAACTGCTCAGTCAAAAACTATGTACGATATATATATGTACAATGCAAGGCATGATGGACACCTGGCAAGCCATGCTAAACAATCAAGCGTAGCTGGAAGGAACCAAAGAGTTTGCCCAGACCTCCAGGTATGTGTACCCGCTGGCATCCAGCTCCATGGAATCTGCAGTATTGGGGTCCGTTCCAAGCTCTGCCTCGGCATCATCGGGGATTCCATCACCATCGGTATCGGTAGGAGTCGTACCTTGGTCGAGGTCGCCCGCGCCTCCCATGTCCGCTTCGTCAGAGATCAGTGCGCCGTCTTTGCCGTAGGATTCGACCTGGGCGGCTAATTGGGTGTCGATACTGTCTCTCACTTTTGATGCTCCAGCATCTAGGTACTATTAGTCTGGTATACGGATGGAACATTTGTGGAAATGTAGCTTACACTTGGTGACATAGGTCAGAGCATCGTCCGGAGACAGGACGGTCGCGACAGCGGGATAGTCGAACTTCTCGGTAACGAGATCCATACCGCCGTAGTTGGTAGAGTCCACGCCGAGCTCACTACCGTTAAGAGTGCCGTCCTTATCAGAGTCATAGTAGTTCGTCTCCACATAGGCATGGAAGTTCTCGTTGCCACGAGTAAAAGCCGTGACCGAGGTAGACGGTCCGCTGATGAAGTAGTTCCCGATAACGTTGACATCTGTCTACAGCGTTAGCCCAAGATCCATAACATAGGAGCCAAAGAAATATGTGACGCACTCGACTCTCCATCAGAACCTCCAGCGATATAACCACCGCCGCCGCCCCAGTTATAGATGACGTTGTTTGTGAACTCGTTGACACCCTTGACCTTAGGGTTGCGGGTTTTGTTGTCGATGTACAGATTGCGGAACAGCGACACGCCACCGTCAGTTTGCATTAAGCCACCGCAGGAATGAGTCTGCAGACCCTGCGCGATGATGCTGTTTTGTATGGTGACGTTGGTGACATCACCATTGATCGAGAATGTCTCGTCACGACCCCAAGAGACAGAGACGTGGTCGAAGATCATGTTCTTTCCATCGGCGATGCCCATGGCGTCTTTTCCTGATGACCCGCCTTTGCCCATGCGACTATAAGTGTGGGTTCCTCTGGTTAGCATGTCTGCTGGAAATGCAATGGCTTGAACGCCTAGTGCTTACATCCTAATATACCGCACGATGGCATCATCGGCATTCGAAAATGACCACCCATTTCCATATACCGTGACTCCATCGCCAGGGGCCGTTTGTCCAAGAATTGTCACTTGTTTCGACACGACAATGCGATCGGTGATTTCAATGACTCCTCCCACGGAGAACACTACAATCCGACCTGGCTGAGATACAGCATCACGCAACGACCCTTCACCGGAGTCATTCAAGTTCGACACAACATACACCTCACCCTGACGACCGCCGACCGCGTTCGCCCCAAAGCCCTCTGCACCAGGGAAGGCGACCAAGGCCGATGAAGAGTGCAGGAGCGACAAGAAACTGATCAAGGGGAGAGTGAGCCGCATATTGACCAGTGGTTAAGGCAAGACAGGTTCGAACGCGAAAGAGGATTATCTTTCCATTTCCTCCTGCGATGCATGGGGTGCATATTTATACCTACAACTATTCGACACGGTGTTGCATACAGATTAGCCGCCAAGGAGGCCGTTGATTAGTGCATGAATCGGGTGTATTGGCAGTTCCCATTAAATTAAGAGAGCGTCTGACTCGGTATATCTGAGATTTAAGCGACGTTTAGCTGCCGATTCTGCATCCTCTAGTGCTTGACGGCTGTCACAGGGTCCGACAACCCTACTTTATCCGGTAACAGAACCGTGAGGATCGACAGTGCTCGGACTCTGCTGTTTCGGATAAGACTCTGTCTATCACTCGCACCCAATCAAATTGTACAGCCCCTGCATGCTGGGACTGCATATTCCACCTATTAGGAGCTATTTTTATATTGCCCAGAGGCTCGGGATATTCCGGATATCCCCTAAAATCATGAATTATTCTATTTATGAACTGTATAACTGACACTAACTAGGACTTTATCTCCTACTGTCTAGTGAGTATGTAACGCTATATACACAACGAGGAGCTCCCTTGAAGGGAAATTTGGACAAAAATAGAGCGAATCGAACGATATATAGAACCTTCTCAGAGACAAACTAATCAAGGAACTGTCGCAATTCGGGCACAGAAGCTACATGGAAATTTACGGGTTTGATCCTTTCGATTCGCCTTGATCTCAACGTTTTCCTTGTTAAATCCACGCAGGCTATGCTACTCACCTTAGGCTTGCTGCGTTAGATATAAATATCTCGGGATGGGTGATATTTGTGCCGAAAGCCCTTAGATCCTTTGTCAATTTAATATCTGTATGTGATGTTTAAGAATGTAGTCGGGGACAAGATAAGGGAATTGTCGTAAATCAAGTGTTAGGGTAAGTTCCTACAACATAATGAGTAATTGATCTTGAGGTAAAATTAATGGGAACGCTCCTAGAATTGATGGGAGTGCTTAACAGGACATTTGTAGCACAGAAAACATAGAATTGCACTTTTACATACAGGAGGACACTGTAAAACAAACACACATATGAATTCCGGTGCTGCAAGATCTCTCCACAATTGATATAGTTACCGGCATAGGGCTCATCTGTGCAAGTCAGCCAAACATAAGGGTAGGATGCACAATAACAGGAGACGATTTGCAAAGACAACACTAGGTTACCAAGAAGTCTACCCGTCCAAACTACAAACATACCCTTCTGATTCTGATATAAGGTTTTAGAATCGCAGGCCATTCACGTTGAGCTACAATTATCCTTTATTCAAGAAGTAGCAAATACCAGACCTGCAAAGTACATCATCTTGGATCTTTGCAACGTTTGCGCAATTGGTACTTGTGGAAACCGACAACTTACAAAATAACTATTACCTCCAACCTATTCAAGTTCACACAATCCAAGTGAATGAGTGGCTCAGAAACCGGGCGTTATATGAGGAGAGGGGCAGAACCCGTGGCGCTTGACTGGTGCCAATAAGGGTCCGAAAAAGCACCTGACACTGACAGCTAATTTCCACCCCAACAAAGGAAGAAGCCCTAGAAGCATGTCACAGAGCTCTGGTGGAGACATTTATCGAACACGTCATGTTTCATATCAACTTCAATGTCTGTCTCCGGAGCTTTACTCTTAGAATCAATACACCTGTTTGATACTTGTTGACCTTTGGGCCGTTCAATATCCCAAATGTGGAAGATTGAAGTTGAAGCTGGAGAACTCTAGAATGTCATTCATTGTAATATGACAGGTCAATGACAATATTCTTAGGACTTCCCGGTTCTTTGTTGTTGTCTAATTGTGATCATCCAAAGAATAATGATTAATGAAACCCACAAGGAGGGGCTGTGAACAGCATTTTTCAAGTTATCTTTTCATTTATAAGAATAGATGATATTCACTTGTGATGTGTGGAGTAGAATCTATGTCGCTACAAGCACTACCCAGCCGGGAAATCTTTTCATCCAAGTGAATGCTCAGATGATATTCTGATGTGATCTTGATGAGGAATAGTGATCTTTCTAATGCATTCCACATTCCTCAGCCACGCTTAGATCTGTATTCAGCATGAGTTAACATTTTGCATTCACTGTGATGAGAACTGATGCAGAGTAACCTGGTTGGTTTGCCTACCTGCCACGTGTATTACATGTCAGATAGAAAAGAGATTGAATCTCATTTTACCCCAGTTGCATCTTGGACTGGGCTTTTTAGGTGTTCTAGAACAGGGGCCTGGTATGTGGAGACCATAGCATCTTATATCCCCTTTCGGCACCGAGCAGGGCCCGAGGAATGTAAGCCATCCTATTGAATATATAGACAGCAAGTGAATCATTACATTCTTCTAATTTGGATTTACCAGCTTCTGAAAAGCCGTGAAATTCCTAGTATTTATAAGCCCTTCATTAGTTCATTTATTCATCCTCTGCAAACATTCCTTCAGTCCCTATCTTGCACGCCTAGTCATTCCCTCTACTTTCCTCCTTTGATTTTGGCATCCACTGTAGCATCATCATGGCCGTGAATGTGCTTCGTGTTCTGAGCTGTCTGCTTCTGTTGTTCCAAGTTGCACAGACAGCAATCATTCCCATTCGCCAGTATAACTCCGCAGACCATGATGATTCCACCAACCCTGATACCGACCCTCATACTGGCGAGCCTAGCCTTACACTAATGGCACCTTCAGTCTCGGCGACGCCCACTACATCCCTGCATTCAGGAGGTGATTCCATTGGAAATACAGAAATTATCATTCCTTACTATGTCTACCCAGCGGAAGGGGCCTGGACGCCTCTGGAGCAACTGTTCGTCTTCCACTACTCGCTCCACAAGCTATGATGAACCAGAACAGATGCCCTGACCACATTTCAAAGTGTCGCTAACAACCCCAATGTGAAATTCACTATCATCGTCAACCCTAGCAGCGGTCCTGGCGGGGATACACTGCCAGATGCCAACTGGCGCAAGGTAATCCCCAAGCTGACGGCACACTCCAACGTGGCCGTCATCGGTTACGTCTCGACATGTTACGGAGGCCGACCCATATCCGCTGTTCAGCACGATATTACCACCTACGCCAACTGGCCGAGTGTAAGCGGCGATGCCTCCTTCGCAGTTCACGGCATCTTCCTTGACGAAGCAGCCGCAGAGCCTGATGACAAGAAAGTGGCATTCTACAAGCAAATCACCTCTCTAATCAAGGAGAACAAGGGCTTCGGCCCACAAAACAACGTGAGTACCCCGTTCCCTGCCCTGTCGGCCTGAACTGCAACCGAGGACTAACTAAATTTCAGGTGGTCATGAACCCCGGAACAATCCCCGACAACGCCTACCTCGACATCCCCGACTCGACGGTCATTTTCGAGTCCCCGCACAGCAAGTTCCAAGAGGCACTTGCAGGACATGAATTCGACCGCGTCAAGAACATGGACAAGGCTCGTCTATCATCCATTGTCACCTCCGTCCCCACGGGAACCGATCTGGCGGGACTAGTCGCGCAACTCCGTGAAATTACTGGCCATATATACCTCAGCAACTCGGCTAGTTACCTTGAGTATTCTCAGGCTTTGGAAGAGGCGGTGCACATTATTGGTTCCACCTGAATGTGGGCATCTCTGTACCGAACTTGGAATTTATCTGGTCTTCTTGATGGATGTTCTTGTTTTCTTGACGGATATGTGACTCTGTGCGGGACACAATGTGGGGCACCTGATTTTTGTGTGGAAATCTGTCTATTGTAGAGCAATAGATCTTATTTTCTTTTATTCCCTGCTGTAGTTTCACGTCCTAAATTGGTTGCTATATGCGCCCGTGCAGGGAGGTGACTGTATTTACGTGGCAGAAGGGGCAGAGGTTTCCTACTGAAAATATTGACTTAAGTAAATAGTTTGAGACGCCAAGGTGGTACAAGTTCGTATATGTAGGAAGTCACATGGGCGTATATTGGCCGAGATGAAGACTGGCTTCGATGAGCGCACCAATAATTGAAGGGTATCGGGATAAGGTCAGTTAGTCCCTGACGCGCCAAGAGACGCTGCTGCTCCTCTGAAGAAATACCGGCATGGATAGGGTCCTCGATGATTGGTCTTATCAAGTAAGTCTACTCGATTATGCCTTTGTATGATTTTTCTCTTGCTTCGTCTCTGACCTTCCACTTTTCTTCGGTGGAACAAAACATTGACAACCAAAGGAAAGGAACGGAAACGAAACCCGGCTGGATGTCCCAATAGGTATAATCTTATTTCAGCGTTCCAACAAAGGAGTTCTGTATCACTGAGCCACTAAAGGCCAAAGCCAACAGTCGACGCTCTAGCAATTATCAGGTGTGACAGACCCTCTATTCCTGAAACCATGTCAATGAGGAGAAGCTGATCTTGTCAGTATATTGGCGACAATCATTGTACTAGTTTGGACTTAACAAAACATATACGATGTCAGGTGCATTCAGGGCAATGGGTATCACCTAGCTGTCGGCTGAAATTACTGTGTCCTGGAACCAGTTGATAAAACCCTGCAGAAATACTATCACTACTACTCCTGCCATATCTGGGTGGACCCATACCGAGTAATCCAATAAAATGGACTTGGTAAGAAGTTCCGTGGATCCATCCACTTTCGTCCCGAGCTCTAGCTTCGCGCCCTGCCGATGACATGCCCGCGAACAGCTGAACACTCATTTTAAAGATCGAGATCCGGCAACATCAATGGACTACATCTGAGTCGCTCAAAGCTATACAATGCGTCGGTTTCCTCAACATGAAAATGTCGAACTTTCCAGCGACCTTGACGTGAGGTCTGCTGTGAGCGAACCTTTAGCGGACAATCTCGATGAAAGCCGAGCTGTGTCGGCCTTTCCAGATGGTGGACGGCAGGCATGGACATGTTTACTAGGTTCATTCTTAATGATGTTTCCCTCTTTTGGTTTCCAGACAGCCGGTAGGGAGAAATTGGATCTGTTCATTGAATGCGAAGTGACCATTAACATAATCTAGTTGGGTCGGTTCAGGACTATATTAGCACTCATCAACTCTCCGAATATAGCGTCAGTGATGTCGGTTGGATCACCGCCGTGCTGGTCTTCCTGACCCTATTTCTGGGCGTCCAAGTCGGCCCGCTATTCGATCGCTACGGACCTAGAATCCTCTTGATCTGCGGATCCCTTGGCAGCTTTACATCTTATATTCTGCTAGCACAATGCTCCGAGTATTGGCATTTCATGCTATGTCTGGGAGTCCTTGGAGGTGTATCTGCCGCAGTCATCACTACCGTATCGATCGCCGTTCTCAGCCACTGGTTCTATCGCCGACGTGCCCTTGCATCCGGCATCTGCATGGGCGGATCGTCGGCAGGCGGTGCTATTATTCCATTACTCCTACGAACCCTGCTTGCCAAGTACGGCTGGACCTGGGCGATCCGAGCGATCGCATTCATAGCACTGGGGTGCTACACGTTCGGCTTCGCACTCGTTAAAGGCCGTCTGCCTGCTAGTACCCAAAGCCGAACGACGATCGACCTACGGGCGTTTAAATCGCCCCGTTTATGTTTCCTGGCTGTCGGCGTTTTCTCCTTCGAGTTCATTATTTTCGGCTGCGCAGCACTCCTCCCGACGTACGTCCGTTACGCGGGGCTCTCGCTCGACGTCCAGTTCTATTCCCTCACGGTCCTGAACGCTATGAGCTTCCTCGGGAGAGTCCTCCCCGGCTTCGCTGCCGACCTCGTCGGTCGATTCAATATCCTCCTGTCATTGGTAATCATGACCCTCATTGTGATGGCTGCCGTGTGGTTACCGTTCGGGTCACGCGACGACGCCACGCTGTATGCGGTGGTGGCTATCTTCGGGTTCGGTTCGGGCGGCTGGCTCTCGCTGGCGCCGGTGTGTGCAGGCCAACTGTGCAAGACCGAAGAATATGGGCGATTCTACGGCACGATCTACTGTGTTGCTGCATTCGGTGTCCTGCTTACTGTTCCGGTTGGGGGAGAACTGCTCCAGTCGACTACGCCGCAGGTGCTTGTTGGGTTTTATTCGGCGGTTTTGTTGATGGGACTGGTAAGCATTGCGTTATCTAGATGGGCTCTTCTGGATTGGAAGTGGAGATGGAAGGTTAAGGTGTAGGTGGGCTGGGTTGATAGATCGATGGATTATCCTGGTATGGTTGCGTATCACTTTTTGTCTATATGAGCGTTAAGAAGAAGGCATTATCATGGAGCCGATAGAGTCCGCCTCTGTTAGCAAATTTGCTTTGAAGGTGATATATAAATGAATACTTTTGTTAGAAAACCTTCAAACATGGGGTACGAACACTATTCGGTGACATAAAGTTAGCAAATTAAAACGAGCGTATATATTGAATCAAAAAGCGTCAACTGTTTGCTACATACCGCATAGAAACAAGACTACTGGGCCTCGACGCTGCAAGAGACGACTTGAACAATTCAGATCACGATGGCTGCTTACCTGATTCTCTCCGTTGGCACTCTAGGCATATAGATCGAATACTCCTCAATGCTAGGGTGGATGTTCTTTTAGGCAGCAGAGGATTTAGAAAGTACTATCCCATTTGAGAGAGTGAAAGTCAAAAGAGGCTGACATGGAAGAGTGGATGAAAGGCATTAAGGGGCTTACTGGATCTGGAGGACAGACCGAGATACCTGTGAGACGTTTCATGTGCAGTAAGACTCCCTGTGGAAACGAAGACTTACTGATATTGCGATCCCACATTCCTTAACTTGTAGTACGGTCGATACTACAAGTTAAGGAATGGGGAAAGGGTCTACTATTTCTACAGGTGAATATAGCAATTATATCGTAGTTGAAAAATGTTAAGCTTGGATAGATGTTGCACCCGTGACTAAATATTTTGTACTTGCCCTAAGTTAATCGGTCCTCCCTAGATGACCAGTGCTTGAGCCAAACTGGTCATAGCGACTGCTGATTGATCCACAGGATCAGAATTGGAACTAGAAGTCAATTGCAACCTTCAAAGCACCTTCCTGGGACGCCATTTGGAAGCTATGATATGCCTTATGAACCTCTGAAAAGGGATAATCTGTAGCCAGGTTTAGATATATAAAGCCTGATAATGTGAGAGGAAATTAAAATAGACCACTTACGGTGAGTGAATAGATTAGAAGGTTTTATATGACCCGACTGATACAGTCGAAGGAGGGTTGGGATACTGACGGCGTTCAGTAACTGCATCTTGATGCCTACAAAGAGTACAGTGAGTTGGTGTTCTGAATACGGAGGGCTAGTTTCCTAGACAAAATAACGATTAAGTATGATGTGGAAACGAAGACTTACTGATATTGCGATCCCACAGTTTGTGCAGGTCCAAATTAACGGGGTGTCCATGAACACCCACATTAGCTATGGAACCTCCTGGCGCGACTAGCTTTTGACACATTTCGAAGGTTTTCGGGATCCCAACGGCTTCAATAACACAATCAAAACCCTGCTTTTCCGTGAGTGCGTTCAGCGTTTCCATCGCATCCGGGTTTCCTGGGTTAACGGCATGATCAGCACCGAGTCTCTTTGCATGTTCCAACCGGGTATCGTCCAAGTCAATCATCACGATTTGAGAAGGTGTGTATAACCTAGCGGTCAGCATAACAGCCAAGCCCACGGGCCCGGCCCCAATGATCGCAACTGTACTGCCCGGTTGCACATGAGCGCTAACGGTTCCGCATTCCAAACCCGTCGGAAGTGCATCCGAGATAGCAGCGCAGGCTCTTAGGTCAAGACCATCCGGGATCTTATACAAAGAAGACGTCGCGTGTGGAATGCGAACATATTCTGCCTGCGTTCCGTCGACTTTATTGCCCAGCTGCCAGCCACCAGTTACACAATGAGCTTCCAACCCCTTTCGACAGGATGCGCAAACTTTGCACGCGGTGATTGCGGCAATCACAACATTGTCGCCAACCGAAAGCCCATCAATAGCGGACCCGACGGATACAACAGTACCCACACCTTCATGACCCAGAACTCGATCGTATGGAATTGCTGGCACGTCGCCTTTCAGAATGTGTAGGTCGGTACCGCAGATAGTGCTGTGGAGCATCTTCACAATCGCATCTGTGGGGGATTGTATGACTGGTATTGGTCGATCCAGTACTTCGAGCTTGTTTGGTGCTGTATAAACTAGAGCTCTCATCATCGGTCTGTTGTCGAGCTTTCTGCTTGTCAACTACGTTCATGTCTAGAAAGTAGGTGTAACTGGGAATATGTCGGAGATGCTCCGATAGAAGTATCTCACCCAAGTCTGGCTGCTGCCGGTGGTAGCATTGGCATTTAGAGAAGCGACATCTGCGGACATGTTGAAACTAGTATAACCTTTAACCGTTATCAGTATGCTGTAACTGCGTCAGTATACGCTGTAGTGATGAAGGTGTGTCGTGAAGTGAAGGACGCTATATGCCGTAGAAATGTATATGGCCTCTGCGGTGCGGGGTAGAGGGAAAAGAGGGGAAGACGCGTTTAAAAGTACCAAGATAGGCCAGGCATAGCCAGGGTTAGACCCAGCAGTATTTTGTGTATCAAACAAGAACAAATAAGAAACGTTATCTTGGGCTCATGCGATCCTCAATGCGGGGCTGAGGATATACGGATCGGAGACCTCACCGTCAATGGTTCGAGGGATCGCATGGTGTACCGCCTTCCTGGTCAAGGAGCCCCAACTACACCTGCAGTTATCCAGCATTTACTGATATAGAATGATGACCAACTGGCACTTAAGAGGCCAGATACGTATTTTAGAAACATGGGTTGCCTACAAGATATCAATAGCAGCCAACGCTACTGGGAGAATATTAGGACCCAGTCTAGAATGAAAACAAAGAACTATTAATTAGAAAGCATCTCACGCATAAAGATATGCAAAGCTGGGAACAACCACATTCTGGGAGGAGAATCAGCAATGTCAATAGCCTGTCTGCCTTCTACTGGCATCAAGCCCTAATCCTTGCTCCTTGGCAGTACAGAGGCAGCCATTGCTATCCCCAGTTTTCGATTTTTGGGGTGTGCTTCTAGAGACCTTTCTCGTAACTTTGTCTCAGAGGAAAGATCGTTCTGACATCATCGAGACTAATATCACCGTGGTCTCTTTATAGCCTTGCCTTTAGATATATAGTTCTTGTCAAGAACGGTGTGGTCTTGTCATTATGTTACCTTATACTTACATAGAAATTGTGCGTCACATAAACTAAGAATAATGAGACAGAGTCAAGGGGCTACGAAGAGAAGAAATGGATTATACATGGCATGGAGAAACGTTTCAGTCGAGAGTTTGTGGGGAATAGGCTGACAACTAGGCAACAAGGCAAGGCCAAGAGATGATATATAACATCCCTTCGGCATCCACATCCAGACCATTATCATTGCACCCTCCAACATCCTGACTCAGCGTAAGCACAAGAATATCAAGAAGGAATCCTCTGTATGTCCGTCTCGATCTCGACAACCAATAAAACTGACCAGCAACCACAGCCCAACAACCAATAACACAAACATGCCGGCCTCGGATTCCTCCGTGCTTCGCCTCGTGGCCAGTGCCTTTGCCGCCATCCCCATCGGATTCGGAATTAATGCCTTCGTGCGTCCCGATCATGCGTTGAGCTTCTTCGAGTTCGAGGTGCCGACTTCACCGGCGGAGAGGGATTTGGTGAACAGCCTGATGGTGGTCTACGGCGCGAGAGATGTTTTCATGGGCGTGGCCTTGTTCTCCGCTCTTTTCTTCGGCCATCCAAAGTCTGTCGGCTGGATCATGATTGCGACCAGCGCGGTAGCATATGTTGATGGGTTTGTCTGTTGGACACATGGAAGGGGAGAGTGGAATCATTGGGGGTACGCACCTGTTTTGACGGTGCTAGGGTCGCTGTTTCTGGGTTTTTTCGATAGGAGGTAGACGCTGATAATACTGGTATGGAGAGGATTTAAATCCACCTGAGATAAAATATGACTGTGGTATCTTATATTCGTTGAACTAGTGAACATCTCTCGTCACACCGGTCCAGCACCCGGTTGAACGTGGACGTCGCGGAAGTAAACAACATGGAGATAAAATTGACTAACCAATACCACACTCCCCCCCTCCTCTCTCTCCCTGGTGGGCAGGGATGTGGATCGTCTTAATATCCTGTGTCTTGTCGGCAACAAACTGCGAATTGTATTCAGCCTCCTAATGCTGCCTCTAGATGGGTGAGCCTACTTGAGTTGGCAGGGCTGGTATTGAAGCCATTGTGCACTGCCAGTATATGTATCACCCTTTTAGTATGAGATTTTAAGACTTGTGAAATGGACTTGCAGCCATAGCGTCTGGCAAGAGACTCGGGGAACGAGCCCATATTAGGATGATAGAGGAAGGGACAAGATGTAAGCTCTCCCACCAACTCATCGACCTGCTCTTCTAACGCAGCGGATTGCCACTTCATAGGGTAAACACTCAGGTATCGTATTGTATTCCGAGCATTGCAGACAGTGGCTAGCAGGGACAGTGGAGAGGCGACTATGTTTCCAGACATACCGTTAAGTCTGATGCGCTCCAACGGGGTTTTGGGGTGAATGATACCAGTAGGCCGATCGAAGAAGGTTTCGCAGTTGATCCACTCTACTGCTCGCACACTCTCACAGTATTGCAAGATGGTTTGTATCTCCACACCGTTTGAGCGACCTCGACATCCGATAATCTTGAGATACCGGAGACCAGCGATAATAGGGGCCATTGCAGGCTGGCAGAATTCGTGCAGCATTGAATCGCTGATGTTACAAAGATCCAGTGCTTTGAGCTTTGGTCGCGTATTGCCCTGAAGAGCGTTCGCAATAGTGTCTGCCTGTTCTTCCTCTTCTTCCTCCTCAGTCAGTCCAGATGATGCCAGGTGATTGGGACCAGAAACTCGCATGACCCGTATGAAGCGACTGGTTCCAGACCGGAATAGCTCTAGGAATGCCCTGATATCATCTCGCCTATCGGACTCCTTGAAACCCGCATATTCCCGTGTTATGTAGAATTCCTGAAAGAGAACACGCGATGCACTGTAATAAAATGGCCTGCTAACCAGCCGTAGGCTTTTGAGTACTGCACTTGATCCACGTTCATGCCCAACAAACACGGCGATCTAAACCTCCATATTAGCCTTAATAGCGTCCAATGGTATTTAGAATATACCTGGTCAATAGTCTCCTGCGGAAGGCACGCTATAGTCATCATATCATGAGTCATGTTGACTGGGAGAGTATGGTGAACAGAAGAAGAGAATCCTTAGACTTATAAGCGGGAATCGCTACATCATTCTTGTGTTAGTCAAGACACCAGTGGTAGAGGTGTCTATTCACTGGCCGCAAATAACTATGTCAAAGGACAACATGCTACGATGATATCAGTTTAATTCCCGAGGTCTGCATACGCACCACTGATTTGCTAGAGTTTCACCTTATCTTTCGTCCTGCTCCTTTCATACCACGAGTATGGGCTTGAGACTTTTTGAAATTTTGGATAGCATAATATGACCATTTAGCTTGAAATCCTGTTGCACCGTTGGGTCCAGATTCCTCATCCTCAACTCTCAAGGAACCTGAGATACGTCTATTTGAGATATGCTATATTCTTCGGTTAGGCTCATGTGGAGGTGAATCAAGGTCTTGTTACCCCTTGACATATACAACCATAGGGATCGACCCTGAAAATACAGGACTAGACCACATTTCCATATTCAGATATCTCTAGTGATCTGAGGTAGGTAGTATTAACTTTAGTATTTGTCTCATGGAGTACTCAAAGACACTGTAAAAGGGACCAAAATCTTCAAGTTTGTCCCTTAAGTAACCCTTTCTTTTTGATATAAATGAGTGCCCTTTCCCTAGTTGAGCCATCTGATTTCCTCAGTTATCCTTCCAACAATGAGAAAAATGTTCAACATCAGGCCTCAGTCCAACTATTGCTCATGGGCTGCCATGCTTCGAAAATCATCATCAACCATTACTAGACCAGAACAGTCGACGAGGAGAGGAAGAAAATAAAGAGTTGTGATTTGATTTTAAAGGCTCAACGAATGCTAAAAGTGTTGCTGACCAAGATAAAGTATTGTGGGTAAACTGTGTTGGAAACGAAATGAGTCTACTGGAGCTGAGAATAATTCTCAGACTGGGTCGAATGAGTATCAAACAACGGAGAACGGCGGGATGATTGAATGATATTCACTGTCCAAACCCCGACACCACAAGCCCTCTTTGTTTTCCTTTCTTTGTTCTCTTCCCTTTTCTTTTCCTATCTCCATCTCTATTTCCACTCCAGCCTATCTTCTCTTATCCTATTCAAGCTACATCAACATCTTAGTCTCTTTTCTTTACAGACATCTCTTCTGAGGTGTTGACCCTTCCCGCATAAGTGACCAGAACTAAGCTGAACGGGTTGTTCAGGAAGGCTTCAGGAGCTCCACTGAGATTGTACAGGAACTTTCTTGTCAACCACTATGTGTATAGACAGTGTCAGAGCTTAGCTTATCATACGCACTTTTGGCTACATCTTCTCTCTTTGACAGCACAGACCACCTTTGGAACATTCCCAGAGAGACTTCACCTCCAACAGGATTATCGTTTTAAAAGGTCTTCGCACAACTACAATAATCCTACCTACGACTAGTCGAATCATCAAGGTGAGTGATGAAAGGTTAACAGGTTTACTCTTTTGATAATAGTCTGTTATCTCTAAGGCGTTAATCAACAATGTCATTCCCAACCAGCCACGGATGGATTTCCCAAGATTAAATCATGATCACCCCTCAAAGTGACCTCACCATTCAGATTGACCAATACTCTCGACAAGACGGGGATAAATCGCTAGAGAGAACAGCTCTTATGCACGTGAAAAGGGACATCTTGGCAAACTCAAGCAGGTACTTCAAGACCATGATGGGAAGCAGATGGACTGAGTCCAAGGGCGACATTATTGTCTTGGAAGATGACACCATGAGAAGCATGGAGATATGGCTTCGATATCATCACTGCACTTTAGATGCGATTTCATTGGACGATATCTCAGTTGCGGACATATGGCACGTCATACTCGCCAGCGACCAGTACCAATTTGATAGAGACGAGTTGCAGGAGTGGTTCATCAGATGGTTCCGCAATGCAACCGCTGGAGGAATACATTGCGATCGCCTTGCCAACAAGTTGATGCTCCCTTGCTACGCATTTGACTACGCAAAAGGTTTCCAAGTCCGCACAAGGAGCCTTGCTTATGAGGAGAGGGGTCACATCATGGAGGTTAATCCGTAAGCTGTCTTCCCAAAACGCATATACTGTATGTATATGCTAACAAGCTTTGCATCTGTATAGAACAGGTGAATGCCGCCAAGGGAAGGCTCCGAAATGTCCTTAACAACAGGGAGTTATTTGCGAAGATCAATTCATTGATTGAGAATGCTTCTTGTGACTGTAAGGATGAAACCGTTTTCAATCTACCTGAGGGAACTGGGCAGAATCAAGGTTCAGCCAATGGAGGAGGGGTCATTTTCCCGGATCAGTGTCCAATGCTACCTGAATCGACTGAAGAGCTTCGACCATGAGCGAATGCTCGGAGAAATAGCCAAACCACGCTATTTTAGTTGCAAATTCGATTGGAGGATGGGAGTCGAAAATGGGATCCAAGTGACGGCCAAGTATTTTGATGGGCTGTGTCTGGACTGTATGAAAACAACAGTTAAGGCTGATAAGGAGTACAGAGATCACATTGACTTCTCCGAGCGGTACGACGACGATTGCCGCATCACTCATGGGGGAGCCCACGCATTACTTCAGCCTCATGGCGCGCCCGCGATAAGAGAGGCCAAGTTGCGGATTAGTGCCAGAAAAGATCAAGTTTGAACCCCCAGAGCTGCTGAGTTTGTCGAATGATGCCTTAATATTCTAATACTGCTTTTTATTGTTTGGTGTACCAATCCTGAATTGTATATTTATCCGAACTGTCGTCAAGCAGCCTATGAAAGCAGAAAATAAACCTACAATCTTGTAATATGAGGGGACGTTTCATTGCAGGGTAGACGCCCTTATAAAGGGTATCCGTTTCGCCGAAACAAGAATGGTTTCCTAAGCCGTATGAACACAGCAATCTATTGACTGGTGCCTGTTGACTAGTACTAAGTAGCCAACTGGATGTAAAATTAATGTCTTTCCTGCAGAGGGCGGTGATTGGTTAAATTTTAAAGGCCCCAAAGGGTGGGGGGTTATCGGCGCTTAAGCTCATGAAAGGGACATTCGGATATGTATGCCATGGCGTTCCGATAAGCAAAAAGCAGATAGTTGTAACTGGGTCGACGCGATTGGCAGTAGCAAGATGGACATGACCTTCGAAAAAGAATATATATACTAGATAGGTGGTGCTACAGCCTTGGGTATGGAAGATGGGAGAACATAGACAATTCTCCAAATTTAGACCTACACACGTCAGCTCACGCCAAAAGCCACGGCGCTAACTTCAGCCTCGTGAGATATACCTTGCAAGGCACTATCGAAAATGAGAGCTGGCACTTGACCTCGTAGCCACCCTCATGAGCATTATTCTTCACACTCCTGACCTTAGCCTCCCTTTTGAAAGAATAGATTCTCGCTGCATACGTTAAACAAAAATGGACGATCGTACCAGCATTACTGCCGCCATTATCGCCGCAATTCATGCAACGGAGTCACTCTATGAAACCGTCCAACACTATAAAGACCGCGATAAAACTCTATACAGGCTCGACGCTGAGCTTCATGACCTGTTGCAAGTTTTGAACCATTTCAAAGAAGTGACTATTGATGAGAGATCAATGGAAGAACTCATTAAACTTCCTATCTTTCGATACATTGACCTATGCCGCAAGATCAAACAATCAATGAAAGTTTTCGATAGAAGATTGAAGATTGTCTTTCGAGTTTGGCCAGAAATAGTGTTCACGGGAGGATATATTGATGGATTTATAGACAAGCTCCGGCAATATAAATCGACTTTCAAAGTCGGCGGAACTCTCAAAGAATACAAAGACATGATTGAGGACTCAAAATCTGAGCTTGAGACCCATTTACAGCGAGTCGACGAGAAACTTGCGAGGTGTACTAGTGAACGCCCTGGTTCAGACGAAAAGATAAATTTCCACGACGAGATACAAACAGTCGAGAATTGCCATCATATTTGCGCAGCCGCCATAGATCTGGCAGATAGGGATGACTCATCTGATGACATGTCTAACCCAGCTTCTGTGATATTCTCGATGCCAAGTCTGCTGTCAACGACAGCTACTACAAACAGTTCACTCACTCAAGATGAAATGAAGAGGGCGACTGATGAGCTTGCCACACTCCTGATAGAAGATGAAGAACTACATCCTCTGTACAAAGCAGCCGTCAACAATAAACACATCGGTTTAAATCGATTTACTCGAAACTTTGAAAAATTACTAAAAAGATTCTCGCAAAACTTGAAGGAGGAAAGTCAAGAGGCACTTCATACTGAGTTGGCAAACTTTGTCTCATTGAAAGCAGGTCCTGTGGCTACTAAGATCCGAGAAGAACTTGTTCCTTTTGCATCGCATACCACTGCCATACCACATGATAAGATAAAAAGGGAACCAGAGAAAATGATATCGGGCCAGCCTGAAGATATAACAGGATATTACAAGGAGAACACAGATCAAGATGGCGAAGAGCATTTTGCTGAGATATTAGCTCATGGCCGTAGTTTCCTTGTTGAGAGCAATGCGTTCGGAGCGCTACGTGAAGATCTCCGAAATTTTGTTCACCCGTTTGCGAAACAAAAGAGCCAGGCTTTTTCAAGTATATTAGACGGGATCGGCCCCGAAACATCTTCATGGGCACTGACCGATGCCTGTACGAGAATATGGGCGAAGATTTCTAGCATGACAGTAGCACTCACCTCTCACCTTGGACTCAAAGATGATGCGATACCTCCAGGTCACCAACGCATAAGGTGGAAAAATGTAAGAATTCTCTATGACTCTCTCCTCAAGGATCCTTTTTCAAAGCCTAGTCATATACTGATCCATTAGAAGGTTCATGGGAAATGGCTCTATGATGACTATGTTGAGCACGAGCATGGTGCCTTGCAAGCATTGCAGAGCTATTTAAGTACATTGGCATACAAAACAAAAACAGCGACTGAAGGTAGCACCAGTAAAAATGACTCCTTCCGACATGCTCAAATTTCCTCTCCCAACAGCAACTCAGGAGGAGCCCACAGCTCCGAAGCCAGCGCTGTTGCTGATGAACTGCATGACGCTCCCCAAAACCGTATAGTTGACTGTCACCAACAGGACCTCGAGTGCGGTGAGCGCTCAAGCCGCACTCTTCATCTCATGGTCTGCATAGAAAAGGGAAGATATAGCGTTGAACTCCATCAGGAGCCAGTTACAGAGCTGATCGACGATCGACAATTATTCCATACTTTGAAACGTGTCTACTACGAGCATAGAGGGAGGTTTAAACAGTATTGGTCCTTGAGAACTGTCACTAGTATCCAATTTATGAAGGTAGGTCAAGAGTATTACCCACAATCATCCTATAGTTTTTCTAATGCCTTGCTGGTAAGTTCACGTATGGTGGCCGCCAATACCTTGATGTGCGATGCCACGAGGAAATTTGCGAAACTGGGAAGGCTTGCAGTTGTATACCCCCACCTAAGCTTGTTCATCCGAACGGAACAGAGTATGAATGCCGACCAATACCACCGAAGTTGTCCCCACCTGTTGGGCCACGAATGATGATGGATCATTTTATAAATGCAGATTATATACCGGCCAACACAACATTGATCATGGACCAGTTACCAAAAAGGACATGTGGACAACTCCAGTCTGACTATTCAGAGTTGAAAGAAGCGTGGGGAATATTATACAAAGAAGACTGGCATTGGGCCAAAATATGGTGTATTCTTGCCTTTGGCTTCTTTCCGCCGAGTCTGTTATTTGGGGTCTTATGGGGAACTCTAAATAGAGACATCCAGGGCGCATTTGGAATAGCAAGCTGGTGGATGACAGGGGCTATGATTCTTATTGGAATTGTAGGAACATGTACATGGAGTTAAGGCCACACTCTGTTTAGAATATCAACCTTTTGTCCAATTTAGCAGAATATGCATATGCTTTGATGTGTATATTGTATTTTGGATGAATGTTCTTTCCCAGGATGACTTCTATTATGTATAAGCCCATATAAGACAGCTCATAGTCTCTCGCCAGGCTATTTATCAGAACGTCCTCTAGGACTTTCTTTTTTTTAAAAAAAGTGCAAGGCTCCATGGAGTATCTAACTGAAATGGCCCATAATGGCAAATTTGCGGATGTTGAAGTCCTGATGATCAGCGGCGAAGTTACAGGCTTCTAAACACTCACAAGGCTTTTATATCATTATAAAACCTTATGTCGTTGGCCTATAACGCTGCAAGGAATTTCCAGGGCCATCAAACTAGTTGAGAAAGGGTTCCATAGCTTCATTATTCTCGAAGAAAAGGGCAGGTTTTGTGGAATTTGAAAAAGGCATATATGCAGGATGTCCCTCACATAGTGAGGGTAGACTGACATATGTTGTGGTACGGTACAAGTGGAAGGGCGATAACTTATTTGATGGTGGACCGAGTTCCGTTCCGCCTCTATAGTCTTGCATTGGAGCAAAATCCGAGTTCGTCAAGGCTGTAGCCAGGGTATGCGGTGATACTGATAATCATAGGTCCTTCATTCTTTTCACTTTCGCATAAACAACCTATTATGCTCCTACCTTTCTTTGAATGGCTGAAAAGAAGTACTTTACACATAACAGAATATGTCATCTAACACTACAGTCGGTTCTGGCCCCGCCAATGAGAGGGCTCAGCAGGTTAATTTTATCGAAGGTGGCAATTCGCGTTGCACATGGAATGAGGTCGAGCATAGAAATAACTAGTGTTGACCCGTTTTCTCTCTATGCGGTAGGCCAGCTTGATTAGATTTCCCATCCAGAACCACCAGATCCCGTGGACTTGGAAGGGAACACGACCTGTTATCGATTATTGATTGCCCTGAACAGATTCTTAATGCAATATGTTTTACTATCATTAATGTGAATCTTTTCTGTAATCCCGCTGCTGTGGATATACGAAGGGGAGGAAAGATGCATGCGGAGTGGCCAATCCACTCTACCTGGAGTGAAACCCTCAGAGATACAGACAAATTATCATGGCGCTGAGGTTTTATTAATCTATAGCAGACCCCTTTTGAAAGTGGGAGTGGTCGCTCAAATCGGATGTATACATATTTCATTATAAGAACATCTGATAATAGATGTTATCACTCGGGCCACCCTAGTCATTTGAAATAGCATTGATCATCACTGGTTTTTCTCGATGGGATGTTGCCTGCTACTAGTTGTATGAGACGTCTTTGCATTAACACATAGCTACGTTGCCTGTCTTAATGTTCTGCATAACTGAGTCACAGGAATCATCCCCTTAAAACCCTACGAAAAAAGCTCCCTTGACACCCGAAGTCATGAAAACATACAAAGTACTGACCATATCACTTGAGGTAGATTTCAGTGATAATAAAGATTGGCATTTAGGGGAGATAACGTATACATGGCCTTTTCTGTTGACATAAAGGTTTCCTTTTTTTTGGGGAAGAACATGATTTTTCCTTATTGAATTTCACGCGTAATGGAATAGTAGATCTTCCAGAAGAACTCCTGCCTTGAAAATCAAACCGTAAATGAAGGAAAGCAAAGGGGGGTACGGCAACTGTGTCCAGATAATGCAGAACTGAGAGATTGCCGACAAGGAGGTTATCCTGATTATAAGGGAAACCTAAGAAGGAGGGGGCGCAAAGCCCTGAGCAAAGGCCACAACACAATCCGTCACGCCATCTAGAAAAGTGAGTCTTCTTTGTTCATGCAGCATATCGGGATACACTCCAAGCATACTTAAGTTGCATTTGCCGAGCCTTACTTCTGACACAAAGCAGTCATGAGCCTTGTTATAACCCCAGCGTCTTGAAGTACGGTTAGAATTAGCATCATGATACATCTGGTGTTCTCAACTGGATAACCTTACTTTCTGCCATTAACCGGTCCACCATCAGGCCAGACACAACCGAAGTCCTGTTTGCTTCCGGTATTGAATTTTCTCTTTATATCGCAGTTATCAGATGGGCAGGAACGGCAATTGCCGGAGCCTGGACCGATGATGTTACAGGTCATAGCAGCAGCTATGCCGGTATAGGTGAGAAAGTTCAAAAGCAACATGGTAATGTCCACTAGAGTCGTTTAGAGAAAAAGAAATAGCTGACGTACGTATCCAGTACGGATTAGAAGGAAGAATGGAAAACCACCCCAGACAGGGGGGATGGGGGTATTTATGTGTCAGTGATAGCTAGGGGAGCCATAGGAGTAAGCTCCCAAGTGTATGTTGTGAAGAGGCAAAAACATATACACCTGGTGACATTTGATATCTTTGGTAGACCTTCGGTAATCAAGGAGCGGCCCTGAATCAAGGCCAATGAAAGGGTATACAAGGCTTTGTCACACCACTGCGTAGTTGAGCTAGCTCAAGCTATATGGTCTAGACCACGGTTCGTACTAGAAGGCCTCTTTTCCCGAACATTATACTACCCTGGATGGTTCTATATGCTATTGAAAATAGGTAGGGTTGTCTATATCCCGACAGCGATGATGAGTTTAGCTATTTGGTGTTTTCCCACTATGAAGCCTGCTGGGAATGTACTATGGAATTGAAATGAATGTTGGAAATGTCTCCTATTGAGTTATGCTTCACAAAGATAAAATATTCCAAATATAGAGTCCTGTCTGGGCCTCTTAACATATTTTTATTCTGTTGCCGCCCTATTTTCTGCATACTGACCGTTCTACATTACTGGGTCGTATTCTGAAGTCAAAGGACAATTTTTTCCTTCATTTCTCGGTAGTCACTCTTGGCTAAACGTCATAGATTGGCCCTTCCAGAGCAATATAATGCATTGGCTCAAAAGCCGTGGAAACAGCTTCGTGTAACAAATAGAATACGAAGCCAAGAACAGAGGGATCCAAGGGAGCGGGAATTAATTATAGACCGCCCAACTCATTATTCTGGTACAGGATGACGCGAAATCTTACTGAATACGTGTGTGATATGGATCAGGGATACTACTCCCACCTTGGAAGGCTTTTGGTGTCGGAATCACCGGAGCATTTTTACTCTTCCTTGCAAGGCCGGATGCACTCTCTGGGCCGATTTTGACCAAACACAAGGGCTTACAATCTGTAGAATGACTCGATTGACAAAACACAGAGATCTATCTGTACTCAAGCGTAATAGTGGGTGATGACTCGCATGAGGCCTTGCATGGTGGATGTACATGGTTCTTGGTGCTAGATCTTCAGATTTCATGACTTCGCGCGTGGAGCCGGTAAAGGTCGATTTCCAATCTCGATCAGCAGAGCAATGTGTAAATAGTCCTCATTGACATCGGTTAAAAGCTGCGAATCTAGAACAAGAAGAACTCGCGCACGGATCATGAGATACAGACTAACTGCTCTTGGTGTCGTAAAGTCCTATGTATTTCCGTTTGATGAAGCCCTTATCATATTAAACTCTCAATGATCAGCATCAGGTCAGATAAGGGGGCACCGCAAGGGCCAATACGGCAGAAACATTATTGAAATTGTTTCATGACCGTCGGTTAAGCGATGTTCCACCAACTGTGAGGGGAAAATACATCATACTCGATGGAGTCGGCTAGATTGATGGCTTCGTTTTTACGATAATATGTGTGGGTAAACACAAAGTCAATCGTAAAAGATAATAACATTTAGACTCGACACAGGAATAATCGGATAAGCTCATTGTCAAGCGACAATCATTTATGAAATATTAGTTGTTCACACCAAACCCGATACAAACCCAGAACAATCAAGCATGGCACATACCCTGAGGGCTGGGGCTTTTCCTCATAGTTTGTACCAAAACCACTCGTCTCAGCGATCATATACCCTCTGACAAACGGTGAATCCGCATCAGCCTCATCATAAAGAATATCAGCGTAGCTATCAGCCGGTTCGCTATTATAAGCCCAGCTCATAAAGTTGTATGAGAGCTCGTAAAGTCCATGCATCCACGCCTGGTCATACTGACTCTTGTAATTACCGCACACATTATCGTACGAGTACTTCACTCCAGCCATATTGCCAAAGTCCCAGGTATAGGTAGTCCGCTTGGTGGTGCCATCCTGCTCAGACAAGCGGTACTTACCAACCACGCCATGGGTGACGTTGTTGGCATGCACGTAGATATGGCCCTCATGATGCTTGGCGACGGCAGCATTACCCTCCAGCCCGAAATGCGTGAGATTGCCTCCCGTGAGAATAGTATCGCCGGGGAGATGGGTACCCAGGAAACCGTAGAAGTTGTCCTCGTTGTCGACAATGGCGGTCCAGTTCCACATTGGCGGCACGTCGTTCTCATCGCGTGCCCAAAGTGTCTGTCCCTGGTTCGCGATGTATTCGGCTACCGTGCCTGCCCGTGATGTCGTCGCCCCGATGGCCACCGCCGCTCCGAGCATGTACGTCAGGGCGTCTGCGGCACACTGAATGTACTTGAGCTTCGTGTCTCCTTCTTTGACGTTGCAGTCTTCCACAATGTTTGCGATATACCCGTTCCCTACGAAGTGCTGGTACGCGTACAACCGAGCCGCGCCATAGTAGACCTGGCTGAAGGTGGTGGCGGCGTAGGCGCTGAATGCGAGTACCGCTGGAATAATGAAGGTCTTGGAGATTTTGGGAAGCATCTGCCTATGTTAATGGAAAGCAAGCTTTGAATAGGAAGAAATTCTACCTTGAAAGAGGGTTCTCTGTTGCTCGTACTGCTGTGTAAGTGTTGGGCGATCACAGGGCTTTTAAACCTTTTCCTGCGCTCGTCTTGTTGTTTGTAGGAAAGCAAGATTAAATCTCGCAACATCTGATATATCCGAATTCTGGTGTAAGGGAACCTCCATTGAATGGTAGCAAACTCGTTAGTGTAGAATATGAATACAGTGAGTATGAAAGCATTATCTGCTTTTGGCAAAGAAGTGGGCTCCACACAATCTAGAAGCAGTAGGACACCAAGAATGGATAGCACTCTACTAAAACCGACTTCATCTCCGATGCTTATAGCTGGGAGGGAAACCCCGATACTTCTGCCATTCATAGTAGCCTCGCATACTCAGTCATAAGAGACAACAGATACTAAACCACATCCTCAACTCATACAAATTCTCCAAGGGCACCCTAAGAAAAAGAAAAAATCGAAGATCCAAAGTTGCTGAACACAAGTCCAACGAGCAGACTATGTCATATTAGCCCTAAATATGATTCCAGAAAGTTGGGCCTCTTTTGGACCCCAGAGCGGAAATGAATGTTTTACTTAACTTGCGGAGATACAGAATGGTAGTAGGGCTGATGGTTGAAGCGATCACGGTCCACGCTTCAATCTACTTAATATGCGGGTCTCCCACGCTATTTTCGCGGGCTGCCACCCAACCAGCGCAGAAGATTCGGTGCTTTTGCTTGTTAAGGAAAAAGCTTGAGTGGTGCCTCATCTCGGCTACAGCGATCGGGTGAGACATGCGGGTCTCCCACATTAAGCATTTACGTGCATTTCTGCCCAATTGGCCTTGAACACTAGGTGCTTTTGCCTGCTGAGGGAAACGCTTGGATAGTGACAAGCTTTTGCGTCTCTTCGGCGCTTTCCTAGTAGTAGAAAAAGAACAAATTTCGCACTGACTGGTAGTCTCGCTCAAATGGACACCCTCTCTTTG